GTCGCCGCCGTTGGTGGAAGCCGGCGGGAGTAAAGAATGCCTCCCCCCCACCAGGTGTCATCATTTTTATGTTCAGGGCTTCTGGAACCCTCCGTATCACGACGCTGTCGATACCAGTTCGGCGAAGTTTTGCGCGGTCGGCATTGTCAATCTCGAGACGGCCTGCCAGGATGGCGAGATTGAGGCCGTGCTCGTATGGGATGCAATGGTGTCAGCATAAGGTGATGTCAATAGATTCCTAGCCGTGTGTGTAAACATACACCTACCTGTGTGTGTGTCTGCCCGCCTGTCTCTATGCCTGCCTGTATGTATGTATGTTTGTGTATGCATGTGGGTATGTATGTATATGTGTGTATGTATGGGTGTATATGTGTATGTTTGTTTGTTTGCATGTATGTATGAGTATGCATGTTTCTGCGTATGAATGTATGTATGTATGTGTGTATGTATGTGTGTCTGTCGTTCTGTATGTCTGTCTGTCTGTGTGTATGTATGAAAGGATGGATGGATTATAAATGGATGTATGGATGGATGCACGTACGTATGTATGTATGTGTCAGTGCATGCATACGTGTATGTGCGCACGTATGTATATACACACCTATATATATAGTTATGCTGTATGCGCACATGCATGCATTGGTGCATGTCTGTATGTCTGTATGTATGCATGCACGTGTGCAGTGTGATGCAGTGCAATGGGACGGAGTGTATTGTACGGTATGGAAAGCAATGTATTTTAATGTAAGTTATGGTTGACCGCAGGTATGAATGTATGCACGCATGTTTGTGTGTATTGATGTATGTACGTATGTATGTGTGTATGTATGCATGCATGTATGCATGTACTCTTGTACGTGTATGTTTGTATGTATGTATGGCTGTATCCATGCATGTCTGTGTAGGTATGTGTGTTCGCATTGGTGTATGCACATAGGTATGCCTGCCTGTCTGTCTGTATGTCTGACTTTGTAAATGTGTGTATGTATGTGTGCATGTATGTATGTATGTATGTATGTATGTATGTAAATGTATGTGTGTAAATGTATATGTGTATGTATATGTATATGTATGTGTATATGTATACGTGTATGTATATGTATGTGTATGTATGTATGTATGTATGTAGGTAAGTAGATATGTATGTATGTATGTACGTATGTATGCACGTGTAGGTATTTGTGTGTAGCTTTGTGCAGGAATGTGTGTGCATATGCATATATATGTGGTGTTAACAACAATTTGCGTAGGCGAAACGCGAGAGGGGCCGCACACTTGCCGATGTTGTGATGCCGGCATTGTGGCTCAAAGTGCAGAGATCGATGCAGTCGATCACTTCCTTCGTTGCCGAGACCTTTCAGTCCGTGGGGACCGCGGCCATAGTCTGGGCGGCGCGCTCGGATTGCCCGGCTTGTGTGTGCAAGCCGGCAGTGACCTGCGGAGGTGGCGCGGCGCCTGTCGTCACGCAGGAGGCATCGTGGGCCGAGGCTTCGCTCAGCGCAGCGGTGCTCCTCGCGGTGTTCGTGGCCGGCCTGGTGCTGGGCGCGGCCGGGCAGCTGCTGCTTGGGCCGCGCGTGGCGGCGTGCCCGTCGTCAGGCTCGCCGGCGCGAGCTACGGTCCTCTCGATCGACGACGAGGTTCGTGAGCAAGCTGCGGCGGCGCGGGCTCGCACGCTTGGCGGGAGCTCGCAGTGATCGCGGCAGTTCACCCGCTAGCACAGGTGGGAGTGCATCCCCCCGCGACTTCATACTCATCCGCTACAACCGCGGCGGGAGGCGGCTCTGGCATGAGAGGCTCATGCTCTGCCTCGCGGTCGCCCCCCCGTGGGGGGCGGGCATCTCGACCCCGGACAGCGACGCGTGCGTGGAGATCGTCATCGGTGGGGCCGACATCGTCGACTGCGCGGTGTGTGACCTCGGCGCAGCGGGTGGCAGCGCAGCGGTGATCGGCGCCGATGCGACTTACCGCTTCCGAGCGATCCCAGTCGCCGCGGCCATCGCGCAGGGGCTGCAGGACGTCGTCACGATGCTGGGGTCGCCAGTGCAGAAGTTTCGCACGGACGGGCATCTCGACGACGACGAGCCCGGGTTTGCGAATCATGAGATGATGTGCCGTTTGTTGGAGGTGGGGTTTGCTACGACCAGTTGAATGGGTCGAACCTCGCGTCGATGGAGCTTGTGGCGAGATCAGTCCAGACCGAGAACGAGCGGTACCGTTACCGCTTCGAGAGCACGGGCCACCTCGCGGCGAATCACAACTTCATGATCGGCGTGACCCCACGGGCGCGGGCATATTTCTGTCTGCCCGGCGCTCCGCGACAACGTCGCCGCCCAGCTCCAGAAGGAGGCCGCCATCAGCAAGGAGCGGCGCAAGGAGCGCGCGCCTGCCGCTGGAGTTGATAGCGGGAACGGCGGCACCGGGCGGGGCCGCGGCAATAAGAATAATCAGAGGAAAAGGCGGCGGTTGCGGCGACGCGGCAGCTGGCGGATGAGAAGCAAGGACTTCGGCCGCCTGGGCGACCGGCGGGCTGCTTGCCAAGAGGACATGACCGGCCAGGCGGCTCGGCTCGAGCTGCCCGAGGCGAGGCGACAGCGCGACCTGTTTCCCACGCCTCTCGTGGGCGGCACCAGGCGAGGCCCGCAGCCTCAGCTCGGGCGCCGCTCTCGACGACGGATCGCCGGTCATGATCTTCACGCGCGTCGGCTGAACTCTTCAATTTCTTCACTGAGTTCACTTCTATGGCTGCTCCAGCGTCGGCGGGGACCTTGTTAACGAGAGCCAGCGGGCGGCCGCGCACTATCTTGACACCGCTCTTCATCGGCTCGATCGTCAGCCCGAGCAGCATGTTGAGGCGCGCGAGTGCGAGGGCGGAGCTCTCGCCGAGCTCCTCCAGGGCGTCGCCATTTATGGAGATGGCGCCTGCAACCCGTCAGCCCCGCACCGCCGAGAGCAGATCTCTCGGCCGTCTTCGAGCGCTCCACCGGTGGACTTGCCCCACCTGGCGGGCCCCGCGGAGGCGGCGCGCCTGCGGGATTGGCGGAGCCAAATGCTATGACCGCCGAGGGAGGCAGAAGAGCTCAAGGCTGCGGCGCGCCCGAGGGGGGCGCACTGCGATCAAGGGCTTGTCGGGGGCGCAGTTGGCCCCGTAGCAGGACACAGCGCATCATTTTTGACACTCGCATCGCATTTTTTTTTTGTTCAGGGCGCGTCCGAAAACCAGACTACCTACAGCTGCAGCCTGGGGCTTGGTGGAGGTTCCCGCCGCTGGGGCCCGCGTGGCCACGGCTGACTTGGAGTGCGCTTTCTACCACCTGAAGATGCCGAGCGGGATGGAGGAGTATTTCGCGCTGCCGGCGATCGACTCGACGTTCTTGATGGAGGCAGGGCTTGGCGACCTGCCCTACGGCCCAGGCGTGATGCTCGCGGCCCGCGCGCTGGCGCTGCCCATGGTCTTCACTTGGGCGTTGCACCTGTGCCAGGACGTCGCCGCTACTTGTCTGCTGCGGAGCGGCGTTGACCCAGCGAGCGCCATCGTCGACGGGCAGGTCGGGATAGAGCTTGGGCCAACTCGGCCCGTCGCCGCTGGCGCGCACGTGGACAACGTGGCGACCGTCGGCACGACAGCGACGGCAGCGAACATGCTGATGCACACCCTGGTGGAGCGCTTCGAGGCAGCTGGCCTCGTCGTGCACGAGATCGTCGAGGCGTCGGCCAATGCGCAGTTCCTGGGCCTGCAGCTGCACGCTGGGAAGGTTCTCACCGCCAAGGCCAATAACGTGTTGCGGCTGCGCGCCGCGCTGGGCAGCCTGTTGCGAAGGCGGTGGGTCACTGGCTATGCGCTGCGCGCCGTGCTAGGGCATATCACGTGGATGAGCATGCTGCGGCGCGAAGCTCTCGCGACCCTGCGCTCCTGCTACGCCTTCGTCGAGGTGTTCGCTGGCTGCCCGGGCCGCTTGTGGGACTCCGCCGCTCGGGAGCTGAAGGTCGTCCGCAACCTGCTGCCCGTGCTGCAGGCCGACGTCGCCGCCGGATGGCATCGCGCGATCGCGTGCAGCGATGCCCCGCCGGTCGATTTAGGCGTTGCTCGTCAGCAGGCGGTCGCCAGCTGCGCCCGTTTTCCAGAGCGGTAGAGCTGCTGACGCCGAGCAGGAGGCCGCCGAGACCCCCGGCGACAACATGGAGCCCTTCCTTGGACTCCCCCGAGGCCCCGCTCGTGGACTCCCTCTTGGACTCCAGCGAGATGCTCATCAAGGCGCCCGACGAGAGCCAGAAGGACCCAGGAAGTTTCGCAATGAGTTTCGAGGAGGCCCCTGCAGGCATCACCGACTCTTTGGCATGGCGGCCGTCAGCGGCCGTGCAAGTCTCTGGCGGGGCCGACATCCTGTTCTTGGAGGGTGAGGGCCTATGCCTGGCCTACCGTCATCCTCTGCGGGATTCTGGTAGTTCGGGCACCCGGATGTTGATCATTGTCGATAACCTGCCACTCGCCCTCGGTGTCGTGAAAGGGCGGGCCAAAAGCAGACAACTTCGACGTTGCCTTGGCCGTGTCTGTGCCTTGTCCGCCACTGGCTCGAGGCTGCGCGTTCGCCGGGTGGCCTTGGGGCGGAAAGCGTCAGAGGCAGTCAGCCGCGGGCGATATGGCTGGTTCAGCGGCCAGCGCGTGCTGCGCGGCCCTGCGCCGGGCGCTCCTGCGGCTCCTCGTGGCGGTCGCCATGGAGGGCCCCGCGAGCGCTGACGCGGCCCGCAGATCGCGCGCGCCGAGCGCGGGGGCGGCCACAGCCCAGCGGCGGAAGGCGGCCCAGGAGGCGAGGGGGTCGCGACCGCTGCTCGCTGGCCTGACTCTGCTGGAGACGGTGGCCATACGCTCGAACACCGAGCAAAGCTACCTCCAGATGCTGAGCAACATTGTGCAGTGGTGCCGCCTGCGCCGCCAGCACTGGAGAACGTACGAGGAGCTCGACGTGGTTCTGTCCAACTATTTCTCGGACCACTTCTTGATGGACACGGCCTGCAACGCCCCTCTTGAGGCAGACGGTGCGCGTGCTCCCCGGGGCCTCGAGGGCCTCGGCCGCGTGGAAGCGCCGCGCCCCAGGCAAGACTCGCCTGCCCCTTCCGCGATCGGCGGTGCACGCGATTGCGGGTTGGCCCATCAGCCACGGGCAGCTGGGAATGGCCTGCTGGGTGGCGCTGGCGTTCGCAGCCTACTTGAGGCCAGCCGAGGCGCAGAGCCTGACGCGCGAGAGCTTGGGGCCGCCCGCTCCTGCCGCGGGCTTGGGCTGCGCCTGCTGGGCGCTCCCGATGCATCCGCTGGGGCGCGGGGTGGCAGGGGAGACCGGGCACTGCGACGACAGCGTGGTGATCGACCAGGCACCGCTGTGGCCGATCCTGGACGCCCTGCGCCTCGCGACGCCGCCAGGGGCCAGCCTGCGGGGTTTCCCGCTCGAGGCGCCCACCCTGCAGTGCAGAGCATGCTTGCCGGGCCCTGAAGTTGTCGTCGCCGAGGCCCCACCTCTACAGCCTCCGCCGCGGCGGAGCCTCGGACGATCTCCTGGCGGGCCGCCCCAGCCCCGCCGAGGCGCAGCGGCGAGGGCGTTGGGCAGCGGCGTCGCCAACGCGGCGACGCGGCAAGGAGGGCTCGCTACTGGACGAGATGGCGCGGATCAGCGCCGAGGTGTTTGCGTTCGGGGCCCTCGTCGAGACGAACTTCGGCCCGCTGTTCGAGCGCGGGTTTAGCGGGTTAAACCTGCGCGGCCAGGTGCCTGCGGCGGCGATGCCAGCCCTCGGGCCTACGCCCACTGCGAGAGGGCGACGGGCGACGGGTCGAGCAGCGGCGGGCGTCGCGCCGCCGAGCGAGGCTGCTACTGGCGCTGCCCACGGGCCGCTGCGCGGGCCTGGCATGGAGGTCGGCACCGCCGAAGGCGGCCACTGCAGCCGGCATCTGAAGCGCCGCCTGAAGCAGGCCCTCAGCTCACAGCGGATGCGCCGAGTCGCGTTGGAGCTGTTCGCTGGCTCGGCCCACCTGACCGAGGCGCTGAAGAGGCGCGGGGTCGCTGCGCTGGACCTGGACCTTTGCCGGGTGCCAGCGGAGGATCACCTGGGCCGCGAGTTCCCCTCGGTCCTGAAGGGGTGGCTAGCGGGCCGAGTGGCAGGCGCCGCGTGCGCCCCTTGCACTACGTGGACTCAGGCGTTGAGACAGCCGCTGCGCACTCGGGCGCGGCCGATGGGGCGAGCAGATCCGTTGCCCCGCGAAGCCGCCAAGGTCCGCATCGGGAACAGGACTTTTCATTTATCTTGTGACGTGATAGTGCTATGCTTGGAATTGGGCATCCCTGCGCTCATTGAGAACCCTGCTGGTTCGCTGATGTGGAAGGCGCGACGGCTTCGACAACTGCTTCAGTATCCGTCCTGCCAGCTGTGTACCTTTGACTGCTGCCAGTACGGCGCCCCTTGGCGCAAGCGTACGACTGTGGCGGCGTGGGGCGCTGTCGACCTCTCTCGGTTGCAGCGGCGGTGCGCCGGGCGGCGCGGGATCTGTTCGCGGTCGAGGTGGCCCCGCGTGATTCTCACCGGCCACGCCAATGGTGTCCACCTTACCGCGCAGGCTGCACCGCATCCGCCCTCGTTCTGTCGTGATAAAGCGAAGCTCATTGAACACTATGCAAACCCAGCCACACAAAAAAATACTTGACATGGTTACTCGATAATCTCCTGCATCGAATTTCTACTATTTGACGGCCTTGCGGCCAGTTCTTTCCGTTTGGATTTGGGAGTTTTGCTGGTCCGATCGCTATTTCCGCCTGTTCGCTCGCGTGTCGAAGCCCGGCCGATACGGGCCTTGAGCGTCTGCTTGGCTCCGACCCACACAGATAGGCCCTGCTCGTAAAGAAGGTTTCATCGATGAGGCTTGCGCCGATCGCCTTGGCTGCCGCCACTCCGTCGCCCTCGAGCTGAGCCGTTCAAGAGATGGCCTTCGGGAGTGGAGACGGGCCGTGTGGTTTTAACAACAACCTGCGTAGGCGAAACGCGAGAGGGCCGCACACTTGCCGATGCTGCGCCGTCGGCGTTGCGGCTCAAAGTGCGCCCGCCCGCGTGCCACCCTGTCAAATACATGTTCCGTGCATTTGATTGCCTTTCTTCTGGAGTTTTGCTAGTCCGATCGCTGTTTCCGCCTGTTCGCTCGTGTTTCGACGCCCGGCCCATACGGTCCTTGAGCGTCTGCTTGGTTCCGACCCACACAGATAGGCCCTGTTCGTAAAGAAGGTTTCTTTGATGAGGCTTGCGCCGATCGCCTTGGCTGCCGCCAGTCCGTCGCCCTCGAGCTGAGCCGTTCAAGAGATGGCCCTCGGGAGTGGAGACGGGCTATACATATATATATATATATATATGATTGCCTGTATGTTTGTGTAGCCCTTGGGGGGGAAGATAAGTTTGCGTCTCGGTGCGGGGCCGGGATGGGGATCCCCATCGGGCTGCTCGATCTCGCTGATCGCGGCGACAACGGCAGCCGAGGTGGAACTCAAGGCCGCAGGAGGGCGCCATGTACAACCCAGCTGTTTACGCGCGGATGCCCGGCGCGGGGCCGAAGGTCACCCAGTGGATCGGGCAGGTGAAAGCCGGGCGGCGCTGCGTGGTCCGCGCAGGAGCTCCGGGGCCTTCCAAGCGGGACCCAGGCAGGGGGTCGGCGGCCTCTGCTGCTTCTGTTCCCTCCTTGAGCCTCCCCGTCCTGGGCTCGCGTTGCGGTTCTCACCTCGTGCGGGCGAGCCGCTAGCCGCCGCAGCAGTTCTCCAGGCAGCGAGGGGGGGAGAGTGGAGTTCGGCCGGGCGGCTCAGCGCGCGGGGCGTGAAGGCGTGTGTCGTCAGCCACGCGGAGAGGGGGGCGGGTGGAGGGAGGAGGGCTTCTCAGAGCAGGGGCGGCAAAGAGGGGGGTGATGACTAGGGGGGGGGGGATATCATGGCGGGGGCCATGATATGTCCCTAGATTTCATGCCGCCTCTTCTTGCTTCATTACGTCCCTGGCCTCACCGCTGGGCCGCGCACGTGCCGCCGGTCATGATTTGCACCCCCCCCCTCTTGGACACCCCCCTCTTGGTCGATCCCGATTAGAAGCACCCATGCTTCTTAGAAGGCGCGGCCCTTATCTATAGATGTAAGGCCGGCGCCTTCTAAGGAGCAGCTTCCTAAGAGGCCCTCCCCCATCCCACCACCCTCTTGTGCGCGCCGCCAAGGCACGCCGTGGGAGGGACCGCAGATGCATCGCCGATGCGGCGCGATGCGGAGCCCGAGTTTCTCCACGCCGACGTCGCCGATGCGTGGCGGACGTCGCCGATACATCGCTGGTGCACCGCCGGTGCAACGCCGATGCATCGGCGATGCGGCGCGATCCTCCGACCCCATCTACTCGGACCCCATCGGAGGCCTCTAGTCTGAGAAAGCTTCTCAGAAGGCCAGAGACCTTCGGAGCCTTCTGAGAAGGCCCGCCCCCTCCGCCTTGCCCCCCTGGGCGCGCCGTCGAGAATGGGGTCGTATAGGCCCAGACCCTCTTGCGTCGCGAACGTCTGATGGTATTCGGCCCATGCCGCCACCGTGCCCGGGCTGTGGGTATGAAGCCTATTGCATGTTCGTTGGGGCCTCGTGGGGGGCCGCTCCTGGGCCTCGCGGAGGCAGTTTGGAGGCCTCTTGGGGTCCGTTCTGGGACCTCTTTAGGGGCCTCTTGGGGTCCTCTTGGGGCCTCTCAGGGGCCTCCTGGGGGTCTCTTGGGGCCTCCTGGGGCCTCTTGGGACCTCCTGGGGGCCTCCTGGGGGCCTCTTGGGGCGGAAGGCTCGGATTTTCGGTTCGTGTTCCCTCTCTTGGGCCGTCTTGGAGCTCTTGGGCCGTCTTGGGCCCCTCGTTGACTGTCTTGGAGTATCTTAGGCCGTCTTGGGGACCTCTTGGAGGCCTTTGGTGCCGAATTCTCAAAACCGCAAGCCGATCAATAATTGTCGCCTCTTGGGAGGCCTCTTGGAGGCCTCGTGGGGCGTCTTGAGTGCCTTCTGGGGCCAGCTGGAGGCCATCTTGGGAGTCTTGGAGCGATCTTTTTCGGCGACTCGGGACCCTCTTGTCAGGAGAGGAAATTATCCTGGCGAAAGACCAAACCATAAGCAATTGTTGGTAACGCGTTGTGGGTGCCGCTTTCGGTGGGGCTCCATATGGGGCCACGAAGCGCTGCCTTGGATGGGGGAACCGCATGCGGACTGCGCCACCGGGGCGGGCCTTCGGTGGAGCTCCCTATGGGGCTACGAAACGCTGCCCTGGGTGGGGGAACCGCATGCGAACTGCGCCACTGGGGCCTTCGGTGGAGCTCCCTATGGTGCCACGAAACGCTGCCCTGGGTGGGGGAAGCGCATGCGAACTGCGCCACGGGGGCTTTCGGTGGAGCTCCCCATGGGGCCACGAAGCGCTGCCCTGGGTGGGGGAACCGCATGCGAAGCAGCCACTGGGGCCTCCGGTGGAGCTCCCTATGGGGCCACGAAACGCTGCCCTGGGTGGCTGGGAACCGCATGCGAACACCCCCACTGGGGCCTTCGGTGGAGCTCCCTATGGGGCCACGAAACGCTGCCCTGGGTGGGGGAACCGCATGCGAACACCCCCACTGGGGCCTTCGGTGGAGCTCCCTATGGGGCTACGAAACGCTGCCCTGGGTGGGGGAACCGCATGCGAACACCCCCACTGGGGCCTTCGGTGGAGCTCCCTATGGGGCCACGAAACGCTGCCCTGGGTGGGGGAACCGCATGCGAACACCCCCACTGGGGCCTTCGGTGGAGCTCCCTATGGGGCTACGAAACGCTGCCCTGGGTGGGGGAACCGCATGCGAACACCCCCACTGGGGCCTTCGGTGGAGCTCCCTATGGGGCCACGAAACGCTGCCCTGGGTGGGGGAACCGCATGCGAACACCCCCACTGGGGCCTTCGGTGGAGCTCCCTATGGGGCCACGAAACGCTGCCCTGGGTGGGGGAACCGCATGCGAACACCCCCACTGGGGCCTTCGGTGGAGCTCCCTATGGGGCTACGAAACGCTGCCCTGGGTGGGGGAACCGCATGCGAACACCCCCACTGGGGCCTTCGGTGGAGCTCCCTATGGGGCTACGAAACGCTGCCCTGGGTGGGGGAACCGCATGCGAACACCCCCACTGGGGCCTTCGGTGGAGCTCCCTATGGGGCCACGAAACGCTGCCCTGGGTGGGGGAACCGCATGCGAACACCCCCACTGGGGCCTTCGGTGGAGCTCCCTATGGGGCTACGAAACGCTGCCCTGGGTGGGGGAACCGCATGCGAACACCCCCACTGGGGCCTTCGGTGGAGCTCCCTATGGGGCCACGAAACGCTGCCCTGGGTGGGGGAACCGCATGCGAACACCCCCACTGGGGCCTTCGGTGGAGCTCCCTATGGGGCCACGAAACGCTGCCCTGGGTGGGGGAACCGCATGCGAACACCCCCACTGGGGCCTTCGGTGGAGCTCCCTATGGGGCTACGAAACGCTGCCCTGGGTGGGGGAACCGCATGCGAACACCCCCACTGGGGCCTTCGGTGGAGCTCCCTATGGGGCCACGAAACGCTGCCCTGGGTGGGGGAACCGCATGCGAACACCCCCACTGGGGCCTTCGGTGGAGCTCCCTATGGGGCCACGAAACGCTGCCCTGGGTGGGGGAACCGCATGCGAACACCCCCACTGGGGCCTTCGGTGGAGCTCCCTATGGGGCCACGAAACGCTGCCCTGGGTGGGGGAACCGCATGCGAACACCCCCACTGGGGCCTTCGGTGGAGCTCCCTATGGGGCTACGAAACGCTGCCCTGGGTGGGGGAACCGCATGCGAACACCCCCACTGGGGCCTTCGGTGGAGCTCCCTATGGGGCCACGAAACGCTGCCCTGGGTGGGGGAACCGCATGCGAACACCCCCACTGGGGCCTTCGGTGGAGCTCCCTATGGGGCCACGAAACGCTGCCCTGGGTGGGGGAACCGCATGCGAACACCCCCACTGGGGCCTTCGGTGGAGCTCCCTATGGGGCTACGAAACGCGTGAGAGGTGTGCCGAGAGCAGAGGCAAGGAGGGGGAGGAGGGAGGAGGAGAGGAAGGAGAGGAACGCGGGGCACCGTCTCTTCAAAACGAGGACCCAACACCACAGGATGGTTGGGAAAAATACACAGACACAATGAATCGTCGATTCCCAGGAAAATATGGGAAAATATGGGAAGTGGGGGGGAAGACAAAAACCCAGATAATATTGGAAATATGGGGAATATTTTTATTTGTGTGTATTTATTTGTGTGTCCTGGGGCCCCTTCATCTTGGGACTCGTGGGGCCCCCCTTGGCCCGTCCTGGGGCCCTCTTGGGCCCGGCGGGGTCACGCGGGGAGGCGCGCCGGAGCCCGGGGAGGACGCCTCTGGACCCGGGGGGGGGCGCGGGGAGCCGCGGGAGAGTCTGGAAATCGGGGTCCGGGCCCCTCCTCCTCCTCCTCCTCCTCCTCCTCCTCCTCCTCCTCCTCCTCCTCCTCCTCCTTGGAGTCAACCCGCATACGAAGGATGGGCAACCTTCCCAAGGGTGCCCCTGCATCCTTGCCTCCTCGGCCCATCCTTGGCCACTCTCGTTGGCCGCGCCCCGCTCGAGAAGCTTCGACGTGGGCGTCCCAGGCCCTTGCATCCATCCTCATCGAGCATCCTTACTATACTGGTTGACTGTACAGGCTCCCCTAGACCAGGGGCTGAGGCTCCAGGGAACAGGCAGAGGACCAGGGGACCCGCCCACCTCCGCGCCCAGAGCTACGGTGGTCGGATCTCCAGAGGTCTGCATCGGAGGTTGACAGACTTCCTACCCTGACGCGTCGATGAGCGAATTGGCCGTTTTCGGTTCGCGAGAAGGCGTCGCGGCCGCATTCTTGCGGGTCCAGGTTCGTCGGTTCCGGTCCCAGGGTGGGTTTTATTAAAAAAAAGGTTTGTCCACCGCCAATTGCAGTGTGGCGCTCTCTCCTCCTCGCTGTTCCCTCCCTTCTCGCATGCGGCGCGCTCGTTCATCTTTCGGGCCGCGGTTCAGCGCACGAGTTCGCCTACAGTCGGGGCGCTGAAGAAGGAACCCTTTTCGTTTGGGGGGGGGCTCGGTGTTCCTTAGTTGTTTCGCAGCTTTCCTAAGGTTTCCCTCAAGCTTTCGATGGGACATCGAAGTTCAACTTATGGAGTACAGGGGCCTCGTTCCCTATTTAGGGTTCCTTAGGTCAACGCGCCGACTGTATCGCCGGTCGGCCCGTGTGGTGTTCCCGGTCTGCCGGGCGACCTCTTGGTATCCGCAGAGCGGCCGAGGCCGAGTCGGGTGAAGTTTTGTGGTCGCGCGCCCGCCTCCACCCAAGAAGCTCCACATGTCTGGAGTCCAGAGTTCAGTCGGGCCTGTCCTTCTACAGGAGGCATATCCAAAAGTAGTCCAAACATAGTCCGTGGACGATTGTTCTACCATGTTTGGCATTTGTTTTGATTATTTGGTTTGGCTATGCTTAATTTCTCGTCGAAAATCCGCCTATAGGGGGACATGCCCGACCTGAGTCTGGAGATCTCCGAGGAGGTCTCCGGGCACAGGTCTGCGGGGGTCTCCAGAGGCCCCTATGTGGAGGGCGCCGCGTGCCAAACCCCGAGAGCCGAGACGTTGCGGGAAAATGCAGCATCGCGAAAAATCACGGCCAGGGCCCCCAAAGGACCCATCCCAGAGATCCAACGTATTGAAAAAATCACGACGCGACGAAGGTTCTTCGCAGTTTTCGGCCTCGAGGAGCCTTCACCAGGCCTCGGGACCGTCAAGAAACGACTCGGGATGCAAAACTGGTCCTTGGGAAGGGGTCGAGACTTCCAGAGACCCCGTATTGAAGAAATCACGACATCGGATCTCTGGGATTGTGTCTCCGTGTTTCGAGCTGGAGCCATCTGTGAGTGTCCTGCAGGCCCGGCTCTGAACGAGAGCGCCTCCTATATACCAAATGGTAGCTTCCAGGTCTGAGGGTATCACCGGCGAACCGCTCCGCAGACTCCGATCCTGGATAGTCTTGAGTCGGGCGTGCTCCTCTACAGGAGGAATATTCAAAAACAGTCAAAAATAGTCGGGGGACGATCAGGGGAATCTAAAAAATTGTTGTTTGCATATTTGGTTTGACTATTTTCTAGCTTTCGCCCAAAATCTGCCTGTAGCGGGGACGTGCCCGACCTGAGGATAGTCGTCGTCGTGGCCCTGCGCGAGAGACACCCCACAGGAGAGGCCGCCGGGGTCGACGGCCAGCCGGTGCCGCTCTGGTTCGGGGACCAGGGCTTTGTGGGCTCCGCCCCGGTGGACGTCGCCCTCCTCATCCCCGATGTCGGCGCGTCGCCGCAGGAGCGGTCGGTGAGAGCCCCGAGTTATCGGGGGTGACTCGGGTCAGGGCTGACTCGGGTTCTATTCGGAGCGTTGGAGCGTGGACGGTTGAAGCAAGCTACACAGCTCCAGTATTCTCTGCACTTGTAGTAGGTTATGGCGCGTCGGCCTGTTGAATTCTCAGGTCTGTAGCTGATTCGGATACCCTAACGCTTAGTTGCTTGTGCGCGGCAGACTGACTTATGAGGAGGCGGGTTCTATTCGGAATCCGAACCCGGGTTGCCCCGGGCCCGAGTTGCCCCGAATATGTCGGGCGCCCAGAGCTCGGGTCCGTTTTCTCCGGCATCCGAACCCGAGTTACCCCGGGCCCGAGCTACACCGGATAATTCGGGCGCCCAGATCCCCGAATCATCAGGGGTAACTCGGGTCAGGGCTAACTCGGGTTCGTTTTTTTCCGGAATCCGAACCCGAGTTACCCCGGGCTCGAGTTACCCCAGTTAATTCGGGCGCCCAAGGAGCTTGGCATCGCTCGGATGTGTGCATGTTTCCTTCGGCGAGGACCATCGAGGAGCATCCTTGATCATTTGGCGAAACAACCACGCACGAAACCGAACAAAAACACAGGAAGTGGACGTCCGAGCGATGGCCAGGAGCGGCCAGACCCAGGCCTCCAACGTGCTGGAGAATCCAATGCGGAGTTCTGTTCGTCGTGTTTGGTCTCTCGGGGCCCCCTCGCAGGGCCGCGGGGCCGTCCAAGAGTGGTGCAGGATGCAGCACCGACCTCGGGGAAGGAATCGGGACGTCTGGGGATCCCGCAGTGAAGGAAATAATGCATCGGATCTCTGAGATCGTGATGATGATGATGATGATGATGATGATGATGATGATGATGATGATGATGATGTTGCTGATGATGATTATGATGATGCTGATGCTGATGCTGATGCTGATGCTGATGCTGATGCTGATGCTGATGCTGATGCTGATGCTGATGCTGATGCTGCTGATGATGATAATGATGATGATGATGATGATGCTTATGATGGTGGTGGTGGTGATGATGATGATGATGATGATGATGATGATGATGATGATGGTGGTGGTGGTGGTGGTGCTGATGCTGATGCTGATGCTGATGCTGATAATGATGATGCTGCTGGTGATGCTGATGCTGATGATGATGATGATGATGCTGATGCTGATGCTGATGGTGGTGGTGGTGGTGATGGTGGTGGTGGTGATGATGATAATGATGCTGATGATGATGATGATGATGATGATGATGATGATGATGATGATGATGGTGGTGGTGGTGATGGCGATGGTGATGATGATGGTGGTGGTGATGCTGATGCTGATGCTGATGATGGTGATGATGATGATGAGGAGGAGGAGGAGGAGGAGGAGGAGGACGATCTGTGGAGGAGGAGGAAGTGGATGAGGTGGAGGTGGAGAAGTTGAATTTCTGACGTCAACATCCAGAGACCTCCCTTAACTCTGGTGGGGAGGGGAGGGGGAGAGGAGCTTTTTCTCCCCTGTTCATCGGACTGTCGCCACGGGGGTGGCCAGAGTAGGATGAGCAAGAGGAAGACGAGAGGAGGAGGAGGAGGAGGAGGAGGAGGAGGAGGAGGAGGAGGAGGAGGAGGATGGTCAGGGGGCAAGAGGAGGAGCAGCAGCAGCAGCAGAAGACCTCCAGAGGCTTCAGAGGCTTGAAGAAGGAGCCAACAAGTGACGGGAGGAGGATGACAGACCCAAACGTCAGAGCTCGCAGAAGCAGGAACATGCGCAGGCCAGAGAGGCTCACAAAAACGGCGAGTACGAGTCGGGCGAATTGCCGCAGACGAAGCCAGAAGCAGGAGGAGGAAGAGGAGGAGTAGGAGGAGGAGGCGGAGGAGGAGCTCGATGAGGCTGCCCCGTCTGCCGGGGGGCCCCTCGCGCCGGCCTGGCGCAGGAGCAGTGGCCGAAGGCGCTCGGGAGGGTGCTCGGGCGCTTCCCCGTGGCCGCCGGGCGGCTGCGCCACGCCAGGAGCCCCCCCCCCCTCCTGAAGCAGTGGCGAAGCGGCCTGGCTCGCATATATCGGGGAAACGTACAGTCGGCCTTGATTAGTAGGTCGGCCCTGTTCAGTCAAGGGTAGCCTTGTGTTCTGTCTTTAAAAGGCGTGCCTTTTACATTTCTACGGCAGTGTATCCCTCGCAAGGGTATTGTGTCCTCTCGCGTGTCCTCTCCAATCAAGTCCGACTGTAAGACTCGACGAGCGCGTCCTGGATTTTGATGATCCCGTGTTCGTGGGAGACCTTGCAGCGGGAGCCCGCGTATAAATTTCAGATTGGGTTTGTCGTTTTTATGATGGCCCCCGTCAGGCCAATCCGGTTCCCCCGTACCCGAGACTTACGTCTCCCCGAATATAGGCCCATCAATGGATGTTCTAAGGACCTCTTGTGGCTTGCACGATGTTCTTAGACTATTTCTGGCTGAGACTGTCTTGTCTTCACACATATCGAGTTTATGTCCTAAGAGCATCGTGTTTATTTTTGGAACACTTTTGGGTTCTACGAACATGTCGTGGTAGGCCTGTAGAAATGCCGGGGCGGTTGGTCCCTGTTCAACCCTCTGCCCTTGGCATCGAAGAAGAGTTCGAGTCGGTTGGATTTCCAGGCTCCATGTTTTGACCCCAGGCATGATCGCGTCGTAAAGGTAAGAAATCAGGACGGGAGGTTTGGGGCCGTTTTCGGCCTCCGGGGGCCCTTTCCGGGCCTCGGGAACGTCACACAACGACTCGGGACGAAAAGCCAGTCCCCGGGGAAAGGGTCGGGACTTCACGGACTCCGTTCTGAAAACATCGGCACGTCGCATGTCTGGGACTACTCCTGCCTCCCTTCAGGAAGCCGGGCACCAACCAGTTCCTCCCGCAGATTGTCGTCAGCAACGCGGGCGTGCCCTTCACGACGGCGTCGGTGCCTCCCTGCGGCCTGCCCTCCGCCGGCCAGCTGCAGGACGTCTGCCAGGAGGAGCGCTGCAGCTTCTTTGACCTCGGGGCCGGGGACGCCGAGACCGCCGCGGAGGAGCCCCTGCTCCGAATGAAGCTGGTGTACGAGGATCCAGCGGTGGCTCGTTGCGCGATATCCGGCCCGAATCAATCCTTTGAGAGAACGGGATCCATCATCTGCACGAGGGTTTCGTCGAGAATACGCACTGAGCTCTGCGGCGCTACACGCCCATCCCCTTAGTTGGGACAGCCTTCGCTGTAGTGGCGTTCGTTCGTTTATTCGAAGCAATTCTCCGGGTCGGTCTTGGAGGTCGCCGAGGCGATCGCGGCTGCCACACAGCGAGGCAAGGTTTTCCCATCCCCCCCCGCGCTCTGCGATGTAGACGTGGCTCATCATTGACAATCGAGCGGCAGATGAGTTGACAATGTATGCCCAGCGCGGGCAGTCATGCTTTCTTACACTAGGGGTCGAATAGCACGCAGGCAGTGGCGAAGCGTCAGACTTGCTTATCGGCCCTCCAAACTCAAGTCCAAAATTCCCTTGTGGTTTACACCAGGTGTTCCCAGCGCAGTTCTGGCCGAGTCAGCCCTGGTTTAATTCACCTGTGCTTTGTTCCCAGAGTATTATTCCCTGGCTGCGCTTCGCTAGAGGGTTCTTCAGAGCCCCGAATCATCAGGGGTAACTCGGGTCAGGGCTAACTCGGGTTCGTTTTTCGGGAATCCAACCCGGGTTACCCTAGGCCCGAGTTACCCCGGATAATTCGGGCGCCCATGTTCTAATGGAGATCAAATGTTTCTCTCACCAGAATCTCCACAGGGGCGGGGGCGCCGGGAGGCGTCTCACCCGTCTGGCGGCGGTCCAGAGTCGACTCACTATGGTGTTCGGGCTCGGTTTTATCGGAGGGTGCAAGAAGGCAGAAGGGTTCGTTGGACAAGGTTGGTTTCGCTGGACTTGAAGTCCCTCCAGCCCGACCTCAGGCACCCCAGCACGACCTGAGGCGTCCCAGCAGCCGTCGAAATCACCCTTCTTGAACAAGACATTCTCGCCGTCCTCGATTTTAGCGCTCGCAGATCCAGAAATGAGAGTCACTATGGTGTTCTGGTTCGATGTGGTCCAGAAGTATGGCTCGCAATTGCGTTCCGGCTCGACTCCAGCCCTCCCAGATCCAGAAGTGAAAGTCACTATTCATGTGATGGTTCGATTTAGTCCAGAAATTGGACTCCGCATGGTGTTCTGGCTCGGCTTGGTCAGAAAAAACACACTACAATACTTTGACTCGATTTCTATTCAAACACTCTTCTCTCTGGAATCTCCAGGAGGGGGGGCTGAGTGTTCTGGCTTGATCTCGGCCATCGCAAATCCAGGATTGAGACTCATTCTGGTAAGGTGGCTGGATTTATTCCAGAGATGAAGCTATTGTGTGTTGGCTCGAGGCCAGCTCTGACATATTCAGGCATGAGAGTCGCTGTTGTGCTTTGAGTCAATTTGGTTTCCAAATTAGACTCACCATTATGTTTTGTTGTGGTGTAAGTTCATTAGAAAGTCCACACGAAGGGGCGAGTGTTCTGGCTCGATTTCAGCCGTCGCAAATCAAGAAATGAGACTCATTCTGGTGTGTTGGCCGGACTACAGCCGTCGCGGGTCCAGAAATTCCGGCAGGAGCATCCGATTCTCACCATTCCAGTTGTCTTGGGCCCCGAAATTGTGGCACGGGCAGCGGCTTCTCATCATTCCAGTTGCCAGGAGTGGGGCCGCTCGGTCCTTAAATACTGTTCCAAGCTCGGCCGCACCACTATGTCGACATCACGAACGACACTATCTTCCGCAAATTCAACTCCGCAGTCGTATCGACAATTTGATGAGGTCGTCCATCTGCCTCTACACTTTGTTGCTATTAGGATGCTTTGCTGGGGTGCTGTGCTTTTATCTCATGGCCTTCGGCCCATCCCCGCATCGTGCTTGGGTTGTGGGTCGGAATCCTCCAAGCGCCGTTCCACTACTCGCAAAGTGCCTACTCGCAGACGCCCGAAAAACACATGTCTGGTTCGATGTAATTTCTTGTAAATCTCCCCCGGGGGATCCAGGCCATTTGCGAGTAGTTACTTTGCGAGTAGTGGAACGCGCTCGTCTAGTTGTGGGTCGGAATCCTCAGGGATGTTCCTTGGGGTCTCTTCGGGGGGGGGGGCAGTTCGGGGGACTCTTTGGGGGGCCTGTGGAGGGCCCCCCTGGGGGGCCTCTTGGGGCATCCTGGGGGGCCTCTTGGGAGCAGGCTCCTGTGGGGGCCTCCTGGGACTCGTCGGGGGCTCCCCTGGGGCCGACTCTGTCGGAACGCTCGCGGGGTCGGTGGTGAGCACCTGCACCTCGTCGTGAGTCCACCGGAGTGCTGCGACGGCCGGCCCCATGCTCGAGAGGAGGGCCAGGGGGCCACATGCGAGCCCTACCCCTACCCCCCACGACTTCTGAGTTGGGTAGGGTGGGGTTCACTTCGCTCGGGAGCTCCCGAGCGAAGTGAACCCCACCCTCCCCCTCAGAAGTCGCGGGGGGTAGGGGTAGGGCTCGCACGCGGCCCCCCAAGGGCGCCGGGGCTCAAGAGCCCAGGGGTCGAGGCAGACGGGGGTCGGCCAGAGCGCCGGATCTTGCAGGGTCCTGCAGGGCCAGGGGAGCACCGACCCGGGCTCGGGTGCAGGATCCTGCAGGATCTTGCAGGATCCCGCCGACACCAGCAAGCAAGGACCGATCGAGAGCCCACTAGGAGTAGGAGCAGCGCGGTCGGGCAGCAACGTTCCCTATAGCACCCCTGCCACACTGACAGCAGCTACGGTACAGCAGTGTTTTTGTGGAGGGATCGCTGCTGCGACTCGCCCGAGCTCGTGACCGGCCGTCGGAAGCGCTTGCAGGATCCTGCAAAAGGAGCCTTCAGGAGGGGAACCAACACACAGACACAATGAATCGTCGATTCCCCAGAAAATATGGGAAAATATGGGAAGTGGGGGGGAAGACAGAAACCCAGAAGATATGGGGAAACATGGGGAATCTTTTTACTTGTGTGCATTTATTTTTGTGTGTCCTGGGGCCCCTTCACGGGTCTGGAGGGGCCCGGGCCAGAAGCTCCCCGAGGGCGGCGCAGCGGCGCCGTGCTGCCCTGCTGCCTCTGCCGGGGGGGGGGCCTGGCCAGGCGGGAGGGGCGCGTCGCGACGGATGGAGTGCGGTCGGTTTCGGCGGCTGAAGGCCCGTGTACCCCGCCGCGCCGGGAAGAAGTCGCGGCGGCGTTTTGTTCTGCTCTTACCTTTTTCGGTTCCCGGGGGCCCTCCTGGAGCCCCCGGGCCGCCAGACAACGGTTCGGGATGAGCAGGCCAGTCCTGGGGAGTGGGTCGAGACCTCCGTGGGTCGACACGGCGGACAAATCGTGACTGCGGGTTTGGACCTTGCGCGCATCCTTCGCGTCTTGGTTGCCGTCGCGGGGGGCGGAGCGCCCGCGGACCGTGCCGTCGAGAAGGCCCCCGGGGTTGGAGCCAGCTGGGTGGCGGAGGCGGCCCAGAACTGGTGCTTGCCAGCCCCCTCTTCGCGCCGCCCGCCGCCTGCTCCCCCTGCGCCTGAGCTGCCTCTGGTTCGCACCTCCGCAGTGTTCTCATCGAAGCGCTCACGTCTGGCGGGCTGAGTGCAGGTCGTCAGCCACTGATTCTAATGGGTACGATGCCCAATTGCAGTTCCTGTTCATTTTGAACAGGGCTCGCTGTCCGCGCCGCCGCGGCCTGTGTCCATTCGAGACAGGAGGCCGCTCGCCCAACAGCGGCCGCTGTTGGTTCGGGACAACATTTGCTCTTGGGCATTGTACCCATTCTTTCCGTACCCATCTCGGGCGCCCAAACTGATCGCCAACTCGGTGACCTCGCGGCAGCTCGCCGGCGTGCACACGTCGGGCGCAACTCCAGCCGCCACGCTGGACCCTGCTCGCTGCACACCCCTCCAGCCGCCGAAGGTCCGGGCGCGGCTCGGAGAGCCGCGCAGCTTCGACCCGGGGAGGGTCCGACGACAGACCTCGAGAGGACTGGCCATCGTCCCCCCCTTGATCAGGAGGGAAAGAAACACACAGACACAATTAGTCCTCCATTCCCCCAGAAAATTTAGGAAAATATGGGAAGTGGGGGGGAAGACAAAACCACAGAACATATGGGAAAATATTGGGAATCTTTTTACTTGTGTGCATTTATTTAATCGCTTCGCTCATTCCGCCGGCCCGTATTGTGCCATCGCAGGCGTTTGCTTGCGCGTTCGTGGCCTCTTGGAGCCTCGTTGGGGCCGTTTGGGGCCTCTTGGCGCCTCTTTTTAGGCCTCTTGGAGAACTCGGGAGGCCTCCAGGGGGCCTCCTGAGCTCTCGTGACGGTCTCTTGGGGGTCTTTCGGCGGGCTCTTGGCGGTATTTGTTGGTCCTCTTGGGGCCTGGGGCCTGACGTTGTTGGTCCTCTTGGGGCCTCACGGGAGCTTATTCGGGCGACGAAATCTATACATATCCACTGCTCCCTGACCATGCCCATCTTGAACCCAGGAGCTGTGTATGCGCCCTCCTGGCCAAGCCAGGAGGGCGTGGCGTATACACCGCTGCGGGGTTGAGGATGGGCCTGGCCAGGGAGCAGTGGATATGTATAGATTTCGTCGCCCTACTTATTGGGGCGTCTTGGGGGTGTCTTGGAGAGTCTCTTGGGGCCTCTTTCGGGGTCCTGGGCGCCTTCTGGGGCGGAGGGCTCGATTCTTCAGTTCTCGGTTCCCTTCTTGAGCCCCTCTTAAGGGCCCGTCTTGGGGCCTCTTGGTCCGCCTTGGGCGGCACTTGGGCCGTCTGGGGGGCGCTCTTGGGCCGCTCCGGGGCCGTCTTGGGAGCCTCGTGGGCCGTCTTGGAGCAGTCTTGAAGGCCTCTTGGGCCCTCTTGGAGTGTCCGGAAGCGAAAAGGCCAGAACGGGAAAAAACATCGTAAAAACCAAGGAAAATCAACGATTTTGGCAACTTGGAGCCCTCTTCGGAGGCCTCTTGGAAGGCCCTTGGAGCGTCTTGGAGGCCTCTTGGGCTGTCTTGGGGCCATCTGGGGCGTCTTCGGGCGATCTTTGGCCGTCTCGGGCCTCTCTCGGACCGTCTAGAAAGCTTCTCGGGGCCCTCGTGGACCGATCTGGAGCCCTCTTGGACTCCGAAACAGAACTCTGGCATCTCTGGCCCGACCTTGCCGGGACCTTGCCAGGGACTTGCCGGGGACTTGCCGGGACCTTGCCGGGGTACTTTTCGTCCGGGGACCCCCAGGGGCCGCCCCGCGCGCGCGAACTAGAAATACTGTTAACCAGGTACCGGAGATCTTAGCACGCCCTGGCCCGTTGGGCCGGCGAATTGGTGTGTCCTGGGGCCCCTTCACTTGAGGCCGGCTTCTCTCGGATGCCACCCTGGCCTCCTCAGAAGCCTTGCCAGAGGTCCCCCCAAGACGGTCCCGGGCGGCTGGCTGGGAGCGCGAGCGAGAGGTGGCGGCGGCACAGAGGTCGGGCAGCCGTGGTCTGCACCCGTCGGCTGCCGGATGCCTCGCCCTCCTCCCTCCCTCCCTCCACGGCCAAGGCTCTGAAAAGCAAGGACGGCGTCGGGTGCGGAAGGGGCTCGCTGACAGGTTATTCCGAGGTCGTGCCTCCTAGCCCTCATCGTGCACCTAGGCTCTCTTGGTGTCGGACAGGGGCCGGGGTCCGTTGTGGCGATGTCGTGGACCGTTTTCGTTTTGTTTGCTTTTTGCAGCAAGGGCGGAACGAAACCAGAACGAGGAAAACCGAACACAAACGAAAGCGAACAACTTTGTTTAGCTCGAGCCATGAGCGGGCTTCGTTCCTTGTTTAGCGTTCCGTAGTTATTTCAGCAGCCCTACCGAGCTTTCTCCCTGCACGCTCTGCTGCGCCAGTGCCCCACGTACTTCTCAGAAGAAAAAGCCCAGCCTGGAGGCCAGCTCGACCGCACCCAGGCTCTTTTGGTGTCGAAGCAAAAAGTGTCGTTAGCTTTCGTTTCTTCTTGCAGCAGCCCGACCGTTTCCCCCCAGCGCTGGATCTAAACGCTGCTGTGCTGGACTTCGGCTGTGCGTTGTGCTTCGTATAGGCAGGGAGGTACAGGACAACAGGCATAGCAACACGAGTAGCGCAACGAAACCAGAACGAGCAGCAAACGTGTAGGGCCAGGCTTCGTTTTTACCTAACAGCGTTTGCTGATAGGCTTCTAGTAGGCTCAAAAGAGAACATCATGACTCCTCAGGGGGGTCTGGGCGGGTGCCGGGGAGGAGGGCCGGGAACAGAGCCGGGCTCGTTTTAAGCCAACAGTCACACATTTCGTGCTCTTCGACCTCCCAGAATTCCATTCCCGGGCCACATTTTGAATAACCGGAGCCAACTGTAGGCCACTTCGTGCTCTTCGACTTCCCAGAACTCCATTCCCGGGCCACATTTTGGATGCCCGGAGCCAACTGTAGGCCACTTCGTGCTCTTCGACTTCCCAGAACTCCATTCCCGGGCCACAGTTTGGATGCCCGGAGCCAACTGTAGGCCACTTCGTGCTCTTCGAGTTCCCAGAACTCCATTCCCGGGCCACATTTTGAATGCCCGGAGCCAACTGTAGGCCACTTCGTGGTCTTCGAGTTCCCAGAACTCCATTCCTGGGCATGATTTTGAATGCCCGGAGCCAACTGTAGGCCACTTCGTGTTCTTCGAGTTCCCAGAATTCCATTCCCGGGCCACATTTTGAATGCTGAGGCAGGCTGAGGCTGAGGCTGAGGCAGGCTGAGGCTGAGGCAGGCTGAGGCTGAGGCCGAGGCTGAAGGCAGACTGAGGCTGAGGCTGAAGCAGGCTGAGGCTGAGGCTGAGGCAGGCTGAGGCTGAGGCAGGCTGATGCTGAGGCAGGCTGAGGCTGAGGCTGAGGCTGATGCAGGCTGAGGCTGAGGCAGGCTGAGGCTGAGGCCGAGGCTGAAGGCAGACTGAGGCTTTGGCTGAAGCAGGCTGAGGCTGAGGCTGAGGCTGAGGCTGAGGCAGGCTGAGGCTGAGGCTGAGGCAGGCTGATGCTGAGGCAGGCTGAGGCTGAGGCTGAGGCTGAGGCTGAGGCTGAGGCAGGCTGAGGCTGAGGCTGAAGGCAGGCTGAGGCTGACAGGCTGAGGCAGGCTGAGGCTGAGGCTGAGGCTGATGCAGGCTGAGGCTGAGGCAGGCTGAGGCAGGCTGAAGGCTGAGGCTGAGGCTGAGGCTGAAGCAGGCTGAGGCTGAGGCTGAGGCAGGCTGAGGCTGAGGCAGGCTGAGGCTGAGGCTGAGGCTGAGGCTGAGGCTGAGGCTGAGGCTGAGGCTGATGAGGCTGAGGCTGTGACTGCGACTGCCGTCGCCACTGCGACTGTCATCGCGAATGCGACTACGACTGCGAGAACAGCAGAATTCTACAACTGGATTCTCATCCGAATCTTAAGGGGAATGCTTCCAGATGTGCTCCTACACATCGCTGTTAGGTTGCTTTGCCGGGATAATTTCTCCCGGTACGCCCTGCTGCGCCAGTGCTCCACGGTGCTGCTCGGAAAAAGTGTTGCCGGGAGCCCCCCCCCCCCCCGGAGGCCCTTAATTTTAAGTCGGGCCTGTCGCTCTACAGGGGGAATATCCAGAAATAGTCAAACCATCGTCTTGGGACTATTCCCCAATCAGAGCTTGCTTCTGTAGGGGTCCTAGCGGATATAAAGCTGAGGTGAGGTCGGCGGCCGATTTCGGTGGCCGGGGCCGGGTGCCCGGGTGCCCGGGGGTGCCCGGGTGGCCGATTTCGGTGGCCGGGCCCGGGGGCCCGGGGGTGCCCGGGTGCCCGGGGGTGCCCGGGTGCCCGGGGGTGCCCAATAGCCCAATAGTCCAGTAGCCCTATAGCCCTACAGCCCTATAGCCGTATAGCCCTATATAGCCCTGTAGCCCTAGCCTTATATCCTTATAGCCCTAATAGCCTTTATCCCTATAGCCCTATAGCTCTATAGCCCCATAGCCCTATGGCCCTATAGGTCACAGTCCTATAGCCCGATAGCCGTATAGCCCAATAGCCCTATAGCCCTATAGCCCTATAGCCCCATTGCCCTAACAAACATCTGATTGGGGTTTTTCTCCGGTATTATTTTTTACAATGTTCAAGCATTTGGGGGGTATTTCTAGGTATGTTTAATTTTTTGTCCAACATCGGCCTGTAGGGGGACGATCCCGACTTAACCCTAATTATGATGCTCGGGGGTGGACAGACCCCCCACCCTGACACGCCGATGAGTGAAGTGACCGCTTTCGGTTCGCGAGAGGGCGTCGCGGCCTTCATTTCTGCGGGTCCATAGGTCCGTCGGTTTCGGTCCCAGGCCGTTTCCACTGAAGGGTGGTCTACTAAATCACCGGGCGCGTTCCACTACTCGCAAACGCCCAGAAAACACATGCCTGCTCTGATGCAATGTGTCGTAGATCCCCCGCGGCGGATCCAGGCGATTTGTGAGTAGCTACTTTGCGAGTAGTGGAACGCGCTCGTCTAACTACAGGGAGGCTCGTCCACCGCCGATACATGCCTCCTCGCGGAGAGGGGCGCCCGCCCCGCCCCCCGAGAGGGAGAGAGAGAGCTCCAGGGGAGAGCCCCCGCCTTCTCTCCGGTCTGGGGCGCCGCGCGGGGCGCTGGCCAAGGGCTCGAGCAGGACGCGGGCAGGATGTGTCCTCCTCCTCCCTCCTCCCCCTCCTCCTCCCCCTCCTCCCCCTCCTCCTCCTCCTCCTCCTCCCGAAGCAGGCCCGATGCAGGCCTGGGCGATTTTGATGTTTTTTCTTGAATCGAGCAATCAAAAAGCCGTCCACACTGTACACGGACGGCCGCAGCCCGCGCCTCTGCACGCGGGCGGGCTGCACTCTGGATGTGATTGCTTACGGCGGGCCGTCTCTGGCAGCACGCGCAGTTTTCCCGAATTCTTGAAGCAGGTTTTTGCCTGCCCGCCGCATCCGCCACACCCAAGCCCACAAGTACGTGCGGCAACGCTCCCAATCGGACGTATGAACGCCGTCTGGGATGCTGCTGCGCATCTCAGGCCACAAGCCATCGCAGCACTGCGTGTCTTTTTTGTTTAAGGAGCGTCTCGGTGCGCCCGTTCGGGCGCACGACGCGCACGCGGTCGACGACGGCCCACTGCTCGGCATCGTGGGAAACTATGCCGTGCGACAGTTTCAGATGCTTGTAATGAGCATTGAAGCGCTCCGCGCTGAAGCGGGGAGGGTCCTTACTCTTGTCGCTGTACGCAGCACGGCTCTTCGGGGCAACGGATTGGTATGCGCCTGCTCCGTCGGTTAAAAACGTAAAATTTCCAGGCACGAGAACCCAAGAGAGGATCTCGTCACACTCGGGCCCGCTGAGCGATACGCCGCTCCCTCCAGCAGCACAGGTGCGCTGAGGCAGCTCGAAAAACATCGCCAACGGTCGCTGCCAGCGTCGCGGCTGCCAGCGCCGCCCGCTCCGCCTCCCTGTCGTAGGGGTTGGCTACGGCCTGCCCGGACGACTTCTGTTCAAAGGCACAGCCGCCCCACCGAGCCCACAGCAAGGCATCCTCTTCCTTCGGATTGAGGAACGACTTCAAGATGTCCGCGGGGCGCTTCTGAAGGAGGCCGTCGTCGAAGATGCCAGGCAAGACCTCGGTAGTCGGCTCGGCCTTGAAGAAGTCCATGTGCTTCACCGTCAGGAAGGCGATCTCGGCGTCAGAGCCCGTCCTCTGGACGTTGAAGGCGGAGTGCAGAAAAGCCAGCGTCTTCGAGCAGTTGCTCTTGCCGGCCCTGGACTTGCCGCACCAGAGGATTCCATGCATGTGGAGGTTGCCTATCATGTGCTTCAGCACGTTGTTCAGGAACCAAAGGGCGACATCCTCCAAGGTCAAAGTCCAGCGCGCGATGGGCTTCGCGTTGGTCCTGCCCTTCTGGTAGTTCCTCAACGCCGTCTCCACCTTGGCAGCGGCCAACCGAAAATATTCGATCCCTCCGTGTTCACCTGCGTGTCCGTCCACTCCATGAACTGGTTGCGGTTGTTGGAGCGCGGGCCTTTTTCGCGGATGAACTTGTAGCCCGCGACGCGCTCGTCCTCCGCCAGTGGTTGCTTGCGCTCGTTCTGCGGCTTCAGCGTGAAGTACCTGATCTGGAACCCTTCCAGCTTCTTCAGCATAAGTTGGAAAGCAGCGGAACCCAACCTGCAGTTATTTCCGTAGTCGATCTTATGCGCCTCGCCGCTCGTAAACTTCAAGATATTATGGGCGTCCACCCTGTTCTTCTCGAAGCTGACCACTTTTAATATGCGTTACTTCGAGCAATCGTCGTCCTCGGGCTTCTGACGCGTAATGAATATCTGCATGGTGTACGGGACGACTGGCTCGTGCTTGAACGACAGAGGAGCCTGCAAGTCTTTGTACCGACCCTGGCAGCAGAATTCGTGTATCTGCGCGAAATTTAAAGCCCCCTCGTAACTCGAAATCACGTCCGCAAAAGCCACTAGCTTCGTGGAGATACCCCGCGAGATCGGAATAATGGGAAGATCGAAGATGGTAAGGTCGCCTGCAATGGACAGCCTGTCCTTCTTGATAGCTTTCTGGGGGTGGTAATCCATTTTGCACCCGCTCACCATGGGGAGCGCCTCCTCGAAGGTGAGCTTCGCGTCGCCCACGGCGTCGTACGCGACCTCGCCCAGCGTGGCTACGCTAGCGGCGGGGGCGCTCGCCATGCTAGGCCGTGGAAGCACGGGCAGCGGCGCGGACTGGATTGCAAGGAGGCGCGAACCGTTCTCGAGCCAAAACAGCTGCGACCCTCTCCCGTTGCCCCTCGTGCCCCCCTGCTGGCCCCCCGCGCCCTCTCTCGCTGTGCCTCCTGCTGTCCTCTGCGTCCCCTGCAGCCCCCCATATAGGTCTATAAAGTTTAACAGCGCTGTGATTTGGTATCGGTCGCTTGGCGACGACGTATATGGATCTAACGAATGCGCATTCGAGATCAGAAAAGAGGGGGATCCAATGTCGGATCCCCCTCCTCGTTCGCTTTGCTCGAACCTCTTGGTTGTGATTATGAGTATCGATCGCTTCGCGATGACGTGTGCTGATCTGACGAATGCGCATTCGAGAAAGGAACAGAGGGGGATCCAACGTCGGATCCCCCTCTTGGCTCGCTCTGCCTGAGCCTCTTGGCTGGTTTGGTCCGAGGGGAAAAAGGGACAGCGGGGGAGAGCAGCAAGGCGGACTTGTTGCAAGCCGCTCGTTTTTCTCGCCGGCTAGGCCGAGCGCCGCGGGGCGCGGCCGCTGCGTGAGCGCGCTGTCTTCACTGCGCGCCAAAGCAGCCGTCACTGTCGGAGCCGCGCTGCTTGGGGCTCGTGGCGCACCACCAGTAGCGCGCCACCTCGGCGGGCCTGGCGGTCCGACAGAAGCGGTTCCGCTGGGAGGTCAGCTTCTGCAGCTTCTCCTGTGGGGACGGGCGAGCCCAAAGGTGCCTGGCGCCCAAAGAGCAAAGCTGTTTAGGAGAAGCAGAGGGAGAGGGGGGAAGGGGGCCCGAAGGGCAAAGTTGTGAGATCCCTTCCGCTGTGGCGGTCCTTGGTCTTCCTGTGTTCTTCCTGCTCCTGCCTCGTCTTCCCCGTTTCCTCCTTGTTCTTCTGCTCGGCCTTTCCGTGCTTCTTCTTAAGCTTGGCGTTTTCCTCTTCAAGCGTGTTCGCCTTTTTCGGCCAGAGGCCGCAGTGCGCTGATCACGCTTTTGTTCTTGTTAAGGACAGTCGTGACGAGGTCGGCGCGCCTGTTGGCCTCCTTAGCATTTCCCATGTACTTCGACACCTCCCACTTGAGCTCCTGAACCACCTCCCTGGCCTTCGCCACCCACGCCGCTTTCACCCACGGCTTCTTGACCCACCGCTCGAACGAAGCCTTGCGTTTCCGATCGCGCGTCGCGATCGCCTTCCGCAGGCGCGCGGCGACAGACGATGCAGGCATGGCACAACCCGTCGAAGTTTGAGCGGTATCCAGCGGCTTAGCGGCTTGAGCAAAACACCTACGTAATCGCCATCAGTATCATGAACATCATCCTCGTCGTCATCATCGTCCTCGTCATCATCGTGATCATCATCATCATCATCATCGTCATCGTCATCGTCATCATCGTTCCCTCCATCATCATCGCGATCATCATCATCACCATCATCATCATAATCCGCCGCGGCGAACTCCTCCTCCTCTCCTCCTCCTCGTCCTGCTCAGTGCCATTCGCAGCTGGAGGCTGGAGCACCAGAGACCATTGAGAAAACTAAAAAAAAACTTAAGAACAGTTTTTTTTATATACAAAAAATCGGACAAATCTGCCTGACCCGAGGCCACTTCCTGAAGCACGCCCGAAACATTGTTTTTTAGGTGTTTTAGGTTTTTTGGGTTTTCCTGCGACTCCCGCTTGAGGACTGCTGGGGGCGCTCTCCGACGCCCAAGTCGGAAAACGCTGAACACACCCAGGCTTGCATCGGGCCTGGCGCCCCTCCTCCTCCTCCTCCTCCTCCTCCTCCTCCTCCTCCTCCTCCTCCTCCTCCTCCTCCTCCTCCCCCTCCTCCTCCAGTCCTCCATTCCTCCATTCCTCCATTCCTCCTTCCTCCTCCTCCTCCTCCTCCTCCTCCTCCTCCTCCTCCTCCTCCTCCTCCTCCTCCTCCTCCTCCTCCTCCTCCTCTCCGGTCCGGGGCACGGCTCGGGGCGATGGCTGGGGCTCGAGCAGGACGCGGGCAAGATGTGTATCCATACCCAGCACCCAGGCATGATCGCGTCGTGAAAAAATCAGGGCGGACGGTTTCTGGCCAATCTCGGCTTCGGGGGGCCCTCGCCGCCTCGGGACCGTCAAAACACGACGCAGGACGAAAAACCGGTCCCGGGCAGAGGGTCGGGACTTCCGGGGACGCCGTCCTGCAAAAATCAGGACGTCGCATGTCTGGGTATTTTTTGGCCGCGTCCGCGGAGGAGCCAGCCAGCCATCACTACACAGTTCGCCGGGCCGCTTTGGCTCTGGTGGACCGATCTCGTGCGACCTTCTAGGCCCTGTTGGACCCTCGGGTGCCCCTCTGAGTACGAGCAATATCCTGTGCTTCTTGGACTATCTTGGAAGGGACGCCACGTGGTCGAGGCGCATTGGATATTGACAGAGAGCGAGCCCAGGTGCCAGATGTTTTTATCCATGTCCAGTGCGCCGCGGGTTTCGGGGGGGAAGAGAGCCCGAAACATTTGGCTGCAGTGGATATGGACAGTTCTTGCCCGCATAAGAGAGCGACCCCAGAACTGATGTATCCCATAGCTGTTTTCCGGTGAAGTCTGCAAACAAACATTCGGCGGCGAGCGAAAAAAGTGTGGACGTGAGAAGGAGGAGGCTTTCTCGGAGGGCGTCGGGACCCCTTGGAGACCCTCGCGCCTCCTGAGAAGCTCCCTGTGCCTTCGGGGAAGGCTCAGAACACTTCTCACCGTAGACGCGCCAACGGCGGTGTAGGTAACGGCGATGTAGGTTTCGGTGTTGTGGGAACGCGTGGCTCTCGCATTCCTTCCGTTCGCTGTGGCTGTGCCTTGTTCGTTCGATACGCTCGCACGTCGGAGTTGTAGGGAAGTGTGGTTCGTGCGTTCCTACAACTTCGTCCCTCCGCCTCCTCCTCCTCTTCCTCCGCCCTCCTCCGCCCTCGTCCCCCCGCCTCCTCCTCCTCCGCCTCCTCCTCCTCCTCCCTCCTTCTCCTCCTCCTCCTCCGCCTCCTCCTCCTCCTCCTCCCGCTAGTCCCGCCTGCCACTGAGACTGTGGCGATCATGACACTCATGACACTCCTCCTCCTCCTCCCAGCACCACCGTTGAGCAACATCGCCGTTAGCGCGGCCTTGGCCTCAGAAGGCCCGGGGGGAGTCTCGAGCATCCCGAGGAGGCCGGGGCTCGAGCAGGAGAAGCCGGCTACGGTCGGGCCGAGGCGTGTGCAGGTCGAGGTCGTCTCGGGGAGGCTACCCTAGTGTGTTTTGGGTTCGTCTGAAGCCCTTGTGCAGCTTGGGGGAGAGTGCCCTTGGACGTTGTGTGCGTTTTGGCCAGTGGAGGGTCTCGTGTTCTTGAAGGATGCTCTTCTGTCCTAGGCCGGACCGAGGTGTACAGGTCGAGGTCGGCTCGGGGAGGGTATCCTGACCTCGAGTCGGGCCTGTCCCTCCAGAGGGGGAGACTTCAAAAGTGGTCCACGAAATAGTCTGGGGACGATTATTCAATTATTGTTTGACCAGTTTTGGGGCTTGTCCGAATGACGACACGGCGCTCGACATCTTTCTTGTTATGTCGTTGGTGGTTATCGCATCGTCAAGCGCACCTAGTTTATGATCGCATCGTTTATGATCACGGGTGCTTGCGAGGGTTGGCCAGGGCTCAGGTAGGAGGTCGACTATTGTCGGATTGGGGTATAAGATCGAGGTCGTCTCGGGGAGGCTACCCTAGTGTGTTTTGGGTTCGTCTGAAGCCCTTGTGCAGCTTGGGGGAGGGTGCCCTTGGACGTTGTGTGCGTTTTGGCCAGTGGAGGGTCTCGTGTTCTTGAAGGATGCTCTTCTGTCCTAGGCCGGACCGAGGTGTACAGGTCGAGGTCGGCTCGGGGAGGGTAACCTGACCTCGAGTCGGGCCTGTCCCTCCAGAGGGGGAGACTTCAAAAGTGGTCCACGAAATAGTCTGGGGACGATTATTCAATTATTGTTTGACCAGTTTTGGGGCTTGTCCGAATGACGACACGGCGCTCGACATCTTTCTTGTTATGTCGTTGGTGGTTATCGCATCGTCAAGCGCACCTAGTTTATGATCGCATCGTTTATGATCACGGGTGCTTGCGAGGGTTGGCCAGGGCTCAGGTAGGAGGTCGACTATTGTCGGATTGGGGTATAAGATCGAGGTCGTCTCGGGGAGGCTACCCTAGTGTGTTTTGGGTTCGTCTGAAGCCCTTGTGCAGCTTGGGGGAGGGTGCCCTTGGACGTTGTGTGCGTTTTGGCCAGTGGAGGGTCTCGTGTTCTTGAAGGATGCTCTTCTGTCCTAGGCCGGACCGAGGTGTACAGGTCGAGGTCGGCTCGGGGAGGGTAACCTGACCTCGAGTCGGGCCTGTCCCTCCAGAGGGGGAGACTTCAAAAGTGGTCCACGAAATAGTCTGGGGACGATTATTCAATTATTGTTTGACCAGTTTTGGGGCTTGTCCGAATGACGGCACGGCGCTCGACATCTTTCTTGTTATGTCGTTGGTGGTTATCGCATCGTCAAGCGCACCTAGTTTATGATCGCATCGTTTATGATCACGGGTGCTTGCGAGGGTTGGCCAGGGCTCAGGTAGGAGGTCGACTATTGTCGGATTGGGGTATAAGATCGAGGTCGTCTCGGGGAGGCTACCCTAGTGTGTTTTGGGTTCGTCTGAAGCCCTTGTGCAGCTTGGGGGAGGGTGCCCTTGGACGTTGTGTGCGTTTTGGCCAGTGGAGGGTCTCGTGTTCTTGAAGGATGCTCTTCTGTCCTAGGCCGGACCGAGGTGTACAGGTCGAGGTCGGCTCGGGGAGGGTAACCTGACCTCGAGTCGGGCCTGTCCCTCCAGAGGGGGAGACTTCAAAAGTGGTCCACGAAATAGTCTGGGGACGATTATTCAATTATTGTTTGACCAGTTTTGGGGCTTGTCCGAATGACGACACGGCGCTCGACATCTTTCTTGTTATGTCGTTGGTGGTTATCGCATCGTCAAGCGCACCTAGTTTATGATCGCATCGTTTATGATCACGGGTGCTTGCGAGGGTTGGCCAGGGCTCAGGTAGGAGGTCGACTATTGTCGGATTGGGGTATAAGATCGAGGTCGTCTCGGGGAGGCTACCCTAGTGTGTTTTGGGTTCGTCTGAAGCCCTTGTGCAGCTTGGGGGAGGGTGCCCTTGGACGTTGTGTGCGTTTTGGCCAGTGGAGGGTCTCGTGTTCTTGAAGGATGCTCTTCTGTCCTAGGCCGGACCGAGGTGTACAGGTCGAGGTCGGCTCGGGGAGGGTAACCTGACCTCGAGTCGGGCCTGTCCCTCCAGAGGGGGAGACTTCAAAAGTGGTCCACGAAATAGTCTGGGGACGATTATTCAATTATTGTTTGACCAGTTTTGGGGCTTGTCCGAATGACGACACGGTGCTCGACATCTTTCTTGTACTTCGTTGGTTTTTTCACGCATCGTCAAGCGCACCTAGTTTATGATCGCATCGTTTATGATCACGGGTGCTTGCGAGGGTTGGCCAGGGTTCGGGTATGAGGTCGACTATTGTCGGACCGTGGTATAAGATCGAGGTCGTCTCGGGGAGGCTACCCTAGCGTGTTTCGGGTTTGTCTGAAGCCCTTGTGCAGCTTGGGGGAGGGTGCCCTTGGACGTTGTGTGCGTTTTGGCCAGTGGAGAGTCTCGTGTTCTTGAAGGATGTTCTTCTGTCCTAGACCTGACCGAGGTGTACAGGTCGAGGTCGGCTCGGGGAGGGCACCCTGACCTCGAGTCGGGCCTGTCCCTCCAGAGAGGGTGTCTTCAAAAGTGGTCCACGAAATAGTCTGGGGACGATTATTCAATTATTGTTTGACCAGTTTTGGGGCTTGTCCGAATGACGACACTGCGCTCGACATCTTTCTTGTTATGTCGTTGGTGGTTATCGCATCGTCAAGCGCACCTAGTTTATGATCGCATCGTTTATGATCACGGGTGCTTGCGAGGGTTGGCCAGGGTTCGGGTAGGAGGTCGACTATTCTCGGACCGTGGTATAAGATCGAGGTCGTCTCGGAGAGGGTACCCCAGTGTGTTTCGGGTTCGTCTGAAGCCCTTGTGCAGCTTGGGGGAGGGTGCCCTTGGACGTTGTGTGCGTTTTGGCCAGTGGAGGGTCTCGTGTTCTTGAAGGATGCTCTTCTGTCCTTGGCCGGACCGAGGTGTACAGGTCGAGGTCGGCTCGGGGAGGGTACCCTGACCTCGAGTCGGGCCTGTCCCTCCAGAGGGGGCGTCTTCAAAAGTGGTCCACGAAATAGTCTGGGGACGATGGTTCTTCTACTATGTTTGACCAGTGTTGGGGCATGTTTTGGCCATGTACCATTTTCCGTCCAAAATCCGTCTGTAGGGTGACACGCCCGACGTAACCCTAACCCCGCTGCCGAAGGATCTTCAGAGGAACCCGCCGAATCCAGGTGGGCACGGCTCGGGAAATTGGCCAGCGCTCGAGCAGGAGATCGATTATATAGGCTTTCGCCACGTCCGCCGACCCCTTTGTAAACTACCGCGCCTCCAGGACTGCTTTGCACGAGGCTTGTCCGAATGACGACACGGCGCTCGACATCTTTCTTGTTACTTCGTTGGTGTTTATCGCATCGTCAAGCGCACCTAGTTTATGATCGCATCGTTTATGATCACGGGTGCTTGCGAGAGTTGGCCAGGGCTCGGGTAGGAGGTCGACTATTGTCGGACCGTGGTATAAGATCGAGGTCGTCTCGGGGAGGGTACCCTAGTGTTTTTCGGGTTCGTCTGAAGCCCTTGTGCAGCTTGGGGGAGGGTGCCCTTGGACATTGTGTACGTTTTCGCCAGTGGAGGGTCTCGTGTTCTTGAAGGACGTTCTTCTGTCCTAGGTCAGACTGCAGGATATCGTCTACAGAATTGATGTGCCCCGAAGCTGAATTGTCCGTAGAATCTGCCAAACATAATTATGCAACATGTTCGTAAGGTTACAGGAATCCGATGCATTCTCCGCAGACTGGACGAACAGTTCAGCTTGGGGTACAGGAACTCTGTGGCCGATCTCCTACTCGAAGGGCGCACTTCGATGGCCCCCACACGCTGTGGTGACCACTCCGCCTGGCGACGTCGCTTCTTGGGGTGGGAGGGCCTGGGGGGGGGCTGTCCAGGGATGCGTTCGGCCTGGGGGGGGGTGTCCAGGGATGCGTTCGATCAGTTGCGCCTCGCCGAGAGTGTTCACGGGGGGTGCCGCGGGACGTACAGAGAAGCCAGATTTTCGGAGGAGGGCCAGAGCGGTTCTAGACAGATGGGGTCCTCCAGTAGTGGATGGGGTCGGAGGATCGCGCCGCATCGCCGATGCATCGTCGATGCGGCTCGAAGTGGAGCCCGATTTTCTCCACGCCAACGGCCGCCAACGGCGCCGATGTATCGTCGACATCGGCGCCGCATCGCCGGTTCATCGGCAATGCGGCGCGATCCTTCGAGCCCATCTGCTCGGACCCCATCTGGGAGGCCTCTGGTGGTGACTTAGTGGGGGATCGGGGTCACCGCACGGCTTCGGGACTCGGGGCGTGCTCCGAGGACGTCTCGGGTGGCTGGGGCCCCCAACGCCCCCAAGCCGTGCTGTGACAGTCCGCGCGGTGAGAACGTTGGGGAGTCGGAGGTCACCACGCGGTCTGTCACCACACGGCTTTTCAGCCCCGCAGCACCCAGGGTGCGCCATGGACCGCCTTGAGCTGACTCTGGTCGGGGGCGAAGCCAGGCGGGTCGTCCTCCTGGCCCAGGCCCCTTCGATTCGTGGCAAAAGGTGCGACGGAAGTGGTTTGGCCATGCTCGGCCTCCGGGGGTCCTTGGCCTCGGGACGGTCAGCTAGAAGGACTCAGGATGACGAGCCCGTCCCCGGGAAGGGGGTCCAGAGCTCCAGGGGTCGACGTCGGGGGGCCAGTGAGCGGCTTGAATAAGGAACAATTGCTTTTCAAAAGGGGCTCGGTCGTTCCTTCGGCTTGCATGCGTTATTGCCCTAAGTATCGCTCCTTATGCGTTATGTCGGAGGTGAGGGGGTGAGATCGAAGTGGAACGGAGAGCCCCACTACCGGGAAATCGGTTTCGGTTTCGTCTTCGTGCGTGCCGTGCGTGCGGGCGAGGCGAAGCTGCGTGGGCGGGCGAGAAATAAGTCTCCTGTAGCTAAGGCGCGGCCGGACCAAAAGTCTCCGCTCCGGCAACCGGTGCCCCACGGTGTCCCGCCGGTGTCCCGCTCGGGGGCCCGCGGCGCGCGGTGTCCCGCCGGTGTCCCGCCGGTGTCCCGTCGGTGTCCCGATGATGATGATGATGATGATGATGATGATGATGATGATGATGATGATGATGATTGTGATGGTGATGGTGATGGTGATGGTGATGGTGATGGTGATGGTGGTGATGGTGATGATGATGATGAAGATGTTTATGATGTTGATGATGTTGACGATGATGATGTTGATGATGCTGATGGTGATAGTGGTGATGATGATGGCGTCCCGATGATGATGATAATGATGATGATGATGATGATTCTGATGATGATGATGATGATGATGATGTTGATGATGATGATGATGTTGACGATGCTGATGATGGTTTTGACGATGTAGATGATGATGGTGATGGTGATGGTGCTGATGATGACGGTGCCCCGATGATGATGCTGATGTTGTCGATGATGACGTTGCTGATGATGATGATGGTGCCCCGATGATGATGATGTTGATGATCATGATGATGTTGATGATGATCGGACGATTTGGTGATGTTGCTGATGAAGATGATGATGATGGTGTCCCGATGATGATGATGATGATGATGATGATGATGATGATGATGATGATGATGATGATGATGAGGTTGAGGTTGATGTTGATGCTGTTGATAATGATGCTGATGATGATGGTATCACGATGATGATGGTACTGATGATGATGACGATGATGGTGTCCCGATGATGATGATGTTGATGGTGAGAATGATGATGAGGTGATGATGATGGTTTTGATGACGGTGGCCCAATGATGGTGATGATGCTGCTGATGTTGATGATGATGGTGTGCTGATGATGCTGATGATGATGCTGGTGATGATGATGATGGTGACGATCATGATGGTGTTCCGATGATGATGCTGATGTTGATGATGATGACGTTGCTAATGATGATGATGGTGATGATGCTGATGATGTTGATGATGTTGTGCATCATCATGATGATGGTGATGATGCTGATGGTGGTGTCCCGATGATAATGATGATGGTGATGATGATGGTGTCCCGATGATGACGATGTGATGATGATGATGGTGCCGATGATGGTGTCTCGATGATGATGATGATGATGATGATGATGATGATGATGATGATGATGATGATGGTGATGTTGATGCTGATGCTGATGGTGATGAGGTGGTGATGGTGATGGTGTCCTGATGATGTTGATGATGATGTTGATGACGTTGATGACGATGATGTTGATGATGATGGTGACGTTGATTGTGATATCGATTGTGATATCGATAGTCAGATCGTTAGTTAGACCGAATGTGAGATCGATCGTGAGATCGATTGTGAGATCGATAGTCAGGTCGATTATGATATCGATCGGGTGAAACAGATCGAGTGAGATCGATTGTGAGATCGATCGAGTGAGATCGATAGAGCGAGACCGATAGTGAGATCGATAGTGTGATCGATAGTGAGACCGATCGAGTGAGACATTGGTTCCCCCCCCCCGAACCTCCTTATCACCCGAAGGGTGGTCGTAAAGGTATTATATATCGTTGCTCATGCGTTATTCCTGGGAAAAAATCGAGCAGTTGCGAAGCGTCCTGGCTCGCCTATAGGCCTACCAAACAATGTTCTAAGAACTCTTCGTGGTTTCCACGGCATGTTCTTAGAACATGTCTGGCTGGGACTGTCTTGTCTTAACACATCGGGCCTGAGTTCTAATAACATTAAGAATGTTATTAGAACTCAAGCACTACGAACTATTTTTGTTTTTAGAACATGTTTGGGTTCTAAGAACATATTGTGGTAGGCCTATAGGAATGCCGGGACGGTCGGTCCCTGCTCAACAAGGATGCTTCGTTCCTTATCGATCGTTCCTTCGACCAGGCCGATGACTGCAGGGAGGGAGCATGCATCGGGGGGCCTCGAAAAGGGGAGTGTGCCCCGCCGACCCCCCCCACCACCCCAGGAGGCGGAGTGCCCTCTCGGGAGGCCGCCTTGGAGGCCTCCTCCCGGAGCCTCCCTGGGAGGCCCCACGCCCTCCCTGGCCTTCCAGGAGGGCTAAAAAGACACCATGACCTTGACGCCCCAATTCCTGTCGAGGTTTTGAGCGGTCCCAATCGGCCTCCTAGGTCTGGAGAGCTGATTTCTAGCACTTTGGAAGGTCAGGGATGCCCTCCTAGAAGGCCCCCGCCCTGCGCGCCGCCAGGAGGGCACCTCCCGGGGCGTCCTCGGCGTCAGCTTCAGCCACGTCCTCTGCGACATCTCGGCGGCGAGCGAGGGGGGGCTGTGAGAAGGAGAAGGCCCTCTCAGAAGGAGGCGGGGCTTCTCAGAAGCCCCTCGGCCCTCTGAGAGCTTGTTGTGCGTCTTCGGGGAAGGCTCACAACACTTCTCAGAAGGCCGGGTGACGTCCGAGCCTTTTGTTGAGAAGGCCCGCCCCTTTCTCTCTATCCCCCCCCAGGCTCGCCGCCGAACATCAGCGGCCTGGCGCTGCTGCTCCGGTGGATGTTCAGCGAGCTGGACGCGGCCGAGCAGGCCCCGGAGGCCGCGCCCAGCCACGCGCGGGCGCTGGCGCAGGAGGCCTTGGACGCCGTGCCCGCTGCCGGCCCCGAGCAGGAGGAGGCCTTCCTGCCGCACTGGCCGCTGCACGAGCGCGCGCTGGAGCGGTGGCTCGCCACGCTCCGCCACGAGAGAAACCATCGAGAAGAATCAGAGGAGGAAAAGGTACCCATACCTCTACCGTTTCCTCGTTTTCCCCTTGTCGGGGCCTCCTGGGAGGCCCTCGTCGCCACCGCTGGATTCGCCCCGAAGTCCTGGTCAAAACGCAATTCCTGGAGAGGTCCGGTGGGGTAGCGGTAGCGGTGCATTTTAGTGGTTTCTCCCATTACTAAGAACACAGTGAAGACGCAGCCCATCTTTGGTCCCCGTGCTTGCACGTGCGATCAGATTTCTGGATGGTTTGGTTTAATGATGGGCTTGTTTTCCACCACCACCACCACCATAAGTTGGAGGGGGGAAGGAAGTGGAGGAGGAGGAGGAGGAGGAGGACCCCCTCCCACTCCAACTTATGGTGGTGGTGTTGGTGGAAGACAGGCCCATCGTTTGATACGACCCCCCTATCCCTATTGTTTGGGCTCCCGAAGGGTTCGGGGCACTTTCATCACTTAGCAGTCAGCGGGTCCGCATTGGTGGTGAATCGTGCAAGCTTCTGCTCGTCTTGCACTGAACGTACAGCGTCCAATGATACGCGCACCGCACCCAGTGGCGCTAAATAGCGCCCAACAGCGCAATGCGAGGAGTTGAGTTGTGTTTGCGCAGCTCGCTACTGGGTGTTATTGGACGCGCTACTGTGCGCTATGGGGACGACCAAGAGCCTCCTCGAGTTGATTGCACAGGGTTGTCTGGTGTTTCCTCGTGCTTGGCCTCCCCGCTCCCTCCCCGGGCCAGGCCCCAGGGGCCCCGGGGGGCACGACCCGCTCTCATCAGAGACCCCTCCGCTTTCATGCCGCGACTGGCGCGATGTTCTACATCTCTGGCGTGTGCTTCTCTTTTGGCGTCTGATGTTGCTGGACCTTCTCTGGAACGCTGGGCCGTGCTGGCGAACCGTAGCCTGGTGCGGGGAGGGGGGGGGGAGGGGGATTGAGGAAGCTCGAGGTTCGAGGGTCGAGGCCGTCGGGCGCGTGTCGTTCTTTCTGCGCCCTCTTGGAGGCGTCCAATCTTCGGGGCCGGGTCCGCCGAGAGAGGCTAGCTAGCAGGCGCCCCCGGAGGGATCGGGGGGATCCCCCGGAGAAACGGCACCCGTTGAGGAGAAGAGGCCCTGGGCTTCTTAGTGTCCACAGCCTGTTCAAAGATGATGCGCCCGCCTCCCGCCTCCCCCCCCCGGACCCCGAGTGTCATTAATACGCCGGGGCGGATTTTTTTTTTGTATTTTTCAATTGTCCCCCTGGGAAAGTATTCGGCTGACAAAAACAATCATAAATGTGTATTGTAAACATATGCGCGCACGCGAACGCATCGGACAATGCATTCGAACTTTTTGCGTGCAGATGTATAGGCTGTTCGGGTCGACGGATGAGTAGTTCTCGTCCAACTGGAACAGCGTACGTGCGTACGCTTCCAACACAACATGAGCCATGGCGGCCGCGTGCGCGGCGGCCTTGCCCCTCGCGCAGTGTTACGCTTTCCCACGCAGTGTGCCAGGGTCGCCGCGCGCGCGGCCAGGGGCCATGGGCACTTGGCGCGAACACACTATTCGCGAAGGGCCATGCCCCTCGCGCGCGGTGTTTCCCATACAAGATGCGCGTGGGCCGCCGCGCTCGCGGCTGCCTATTGCCGTCCACGCGTTGTGTTTTTTCCATACGAGATGCGCGTGTGCCGCCGCGCGCGCGGCGGCCCTGGCACCTCGCGCGCTTTGCGTTTTCCATACGCGGTGCGCGTGGGCCGCCGCGTGCGCGACGGTCCTGGAACCTCGCGCATTCTCCATACAGGATGCGGGTTGGCCGCCGCGCGCGCGGTGGCCCATCGCCTCTCGGGCGTTGTGTTTTTCCATGCGAGATGCGTGTGGGCCGCCGCGCGCGCGGCGGCCGCGGCCACTCGCGTGCTGCTTTTTGCATGCAAGATGCGCGTGGGCCGCCGCGCGCGCGGCGACCCATTGCCTTGCACGCAGGGCGTTTTTCCATACGCGATGCGCGTGGACCGCCGCGCGCGCGGCGGCCCATGGCCCCTCTCGCATGGTTTTTTCTACATCAGATGCGCGGGGGCCGCCGCGCGCGCGGCGTTCCATGACCCCTCGCGCATGGTATTTTTCCATGCAAGATGCGCGTGGCCCTTGGCGCATTGTTGCTTCCATGCAAGATGCGCGTGGGCCGCCGCTCGCGCGGCGGTCCATTGCCAGCCGCCGCTTGTTTTTGTCATGCACGAGCGCGTGAGCCGCCGCGCGCGCGCGGGTCGCCGCGCGCGCGGCGGCCCATGGCCCCTTGCGCATTGTTTTTGTTTATACAGGATGCGCGTGGGCCCTGGCGAATTGTTGTTTCCATGCAGGATGCGCATGTGCCGCCGCGCGCGCGGTGGTCCATTGCCAGCCGCCCTTTGTTTTTGTTCCATGCACGAGCGCGTGAGCCGCCGCGCGAGCGCGCGGGTCACCGCGCGCGCGGCGGCCTATGGCCCCTCGCGCATTGCTTTTGCATGTGCAAGATGCGCGTGGGCCCTGGCGCATTGCTGTTTCTATGTCAGATGCGCGTGGGCCGCCGCGCGCGCAGCTGCCGATGGGTGTTCGTGCATTTTATGTTATAATACGGGATGCGCGTGGGGCGCGGCGCGCGCGGCGACCCGTTGCCTCTCGCGCGTTGTGTTTTGTCAATATAAGATTCGCGCCGCCGCGCGCGCGGCGGCCAATTTCCGTTCGCGCACAGCGCTTTTTGCCCTTACGGGGCGTTCGTGGGCCGCCACGCGCGCGGCGGCCCACGGCCCCTCGCGCGTCGTGCTTTCCCCATGCAGGATGAGCGTGGGCCGCCGCGCACGCAGCGGCCCATGGCCCCTCGCGCATTCGGTTTTTAGCCATGCAAGATGCGCGTGGGCCGCCGCGCGCGCGACGGCCCATAGCTCCTCGCGCATGGCGCTTTTAGGTGCGGTGCGCGTGGGCCGCCGCGCGCGCTCGCGGTGGCCCTGGCGCCTCGCCCAGAATTTACCATGCAGGATGCGGGCGGGCCTTCGCGCGCGCGGCGGCCCAAGTCCCCCCCCCCCCCCCCCCCCCCCCCCCCTTCCCCCCGCGCATTGCGCGCTTCCATGCGCGACGCGCGTGGGTCGCAACGCGCGCCGAGGCCCATTGCCATTCGCGCATTGCGTTGTTCCATACAAGCTGCGCGTGGGCTGCCGCGCGCCCAGCGGCCCATTGCACATCGCGCGCTGTTCTTCTATGCGCATGTTTTTTTCTCACGCAAGGCGCGCGTGGGCCGCCGCGCGCGCGGCGGCCCTGGCCCTTCGCGCATGGCGGTGACCCCGGGAAGGTGCGCGCGGGCCATCGCTCGCGCGGCGGCCCATGACCCCATGTGCAGTGTGCGTTTCCGTTCAAGATGCGCGTGGGCCGCCGTGCGGTCGGCTGCCCTGGCCTCTCGCGCATTTGGTTGTTCTATGCAGGGTGTGCGGGGGCCGCCGCGCGCGTGGCCGCCCATTGCCTCTCGCGCGTTGCGCTGCGTTGCCCCATGCAAGATGCGCGCAGGCCGCCGCGCGCGCGGCGGCCCATGGCTCTTCACACCTTTTCTTTGTTCAACAAGATGTGCGTGGGCCGCCGCGCGCGCGGCGGCCCTGGCCCCTCGCGCATTGTCTTTCCATGCAGGGTGCGGGCCGCCGCGCGCGCGGATGCAGGATGCGCCATCGCGCGCATTGTTTTGTTTGTATACAAAATGCGCGTGGGCCGCCCCGCGCGCGGTGGCCCAGGCCCCTCGCGCAGTCTTGTTGTCCGTGCAAGGCGCGCGTGGGCCGACGCGCTCGCGCGGCAGCCCATTGGCTTTCGCGCGCTGCGTCAGCCCATGCAAGGTGCGGGTGGGCCGCCGCGCGGGCGGCAGCCCATCGCCTCTTGCGCGCTGATGTGAAGCAAAGAAGACGCGCGCGGGCCACCGCGCTCGCGGCGGCCCTTGGCGCCCTGGGCCGCCGCGCGCGCGGCGGCCCATTTGTTTTCGCGCGCTGCGTTTTTCCATGTGTGATGCGCGTGGCCCGCGGCGCCCGCGGCGGACCACGACCCCCCGCGCATCGTGTTTTGCCATGCAGGATGCGCGCGGGCCGCCGTGCGCGCGGCGGCCCTGGTCCCTCGCGCATATTGTCTTTCCATATAAGATGAGTTTGGGCCGCCGCGTGCGCGGCGGCCCTGGCTCCTGGCGCCTGGTTTTTGCGTAGTGCATTTTCTACGTAAGATGCGCGGGGGCCTTCTCGCGCGCGGCGGCCCTTGGCGCCTCGCGCATTGTGTTTTACTTCATGCAGGATGCGCGTGGGCCGCCGCGCTCGCGGCGGCCCTGTGCCCCTCGCGCGGCGCGCATTTCCATGCAAGGTGCACGTGGGCCGCCGCGCGCGCGGCGCCCCACCGACATTCGGGCACTGTGCGCTTTCATTCAAGATGCGCATGGGCCGCCGCGGCCGCGGCAGCCCATTCGCTGTCGCGCGTTGCGTTTTTTCCATGCAAGATGCGCGTGGGCCGCCGCGCGCGCGGCGGCCCTGAGCCCTTGCGCAGCCTGCGTTTGCCATACCCGTTGCGCATGGGCAGCCGCGCGCGCGGCGGCCGTGGCCCCTCGCGCACTGCGTTTCCCACCCAGGGTGCGCATGGGCCGCCGCGCGCGCGGCGGCCCTGGCCCCGCGCATTGTTTTTCTATGCAAGATGCGCGTGGGCCGCCGCGCGCGCGGATGCCTTGGCCCCTCGCGCATTGTGTGTTTCCGTACAAGATGCGCGTGGGCCGCTGTTTTTTTCCATACAGGGTGCGCGTGGGCCATCGCTCGCGCGGCGACCCTGGCCCCTCGCGCATTTTGCGTTTGCCGTGCAAGGTGCGCGTGGGCCGCCTCGCGCGCGGTGACCCGTGGCACACTCGCGTGCAGTGTTTGCCCATGCAAGGAGCGCGTGGGCCATCGCTCGCGCGGTGGCCCAGGTCCCTCGCGCATGGCGTTTTCCCATGCATGGCGCGTGCGGTGGCCCTTGGCCCCTCGAGCATTGCATTTGTTATGCAGTACTCGGGTGGGCCACCGCGGCCCTTGGCGCCTCGCGCATTGTGCTACATGCCATGCAAGATGCGCTTGGGCCGCCGCGCGCGCGGCCGCCCATGGCCCCTCGCGCATTGTGTTTTCCCATGCAAGGTGCGCGTGGGCCGCCGCGCGCGCAGCGGCCCTGGCTTCTCGCGCAGCTTGCGTTTGCCATACAGATGCGCACGGGCCGCCTCGCGCGCGGCGGCCCTGGCGCCTCGCGCATGGTATTTGTTCCATGCAAGATGCGCGTGGGCCGCCGCGCGCGCGGCGGCCCTGGCCCCTCGCGCAGCTTGCGTGTGCCATGCAAGTTGCGCATGGGCAGCCGCGCGCGCGGCGGCCTTGGCCCCTCGCGCATTGCGTTTTCCCACGCCAGGTGCGCGTGGGCCGCCGCGCGCGGCGGCCAATGGCACGCTCGTGCATTGTATTTGTTCCATACAAGGTGCGCGTGGGCCATCGATCGCGCGGCGACACTGGCCCTTCGCGCATTTTGCGTTTGCCATGCAAGGTGCGCGTGGACCGCCGCGCGCGCGGCGGCCCTTGGCACACTCGCGCGCTGTGTTTGCCCATGCAAGGAGCGCGTGGGCCATCGCTCGCGCGGTGGCCCAGGTCCCTCGCGCATGGCGTTTCCCCATGCAAAGGCGCGCGCGGCGGCCCTTGGCCCCTGGCGCATTGCGCTTCTCATGCGATACTCGCGTGGGCCTTCTCGCGCGCGGCGGCCCTTGGCGCCTCGCGCATTGTGTTTTACTCCATGCAGGATGCGCGTGGGCCGCCGCGCTCGCGGCGGCCCATGTCCCCTCGCGCATTGCGTTTTCCCGCGCAAGATGCGCGTGGGCCGCGGCGCGCGCGGCGGCCCTGGAGCCTCGCGCATGGCGTTTTCCCCATGCGAGATGCGCGTGGGCCGCCGCGCGCGCGGCGGCCCTCGCGCGCGGCGGCCCTCAATTGGAAAGTCGCCATGCTTGCCTGCGAACCCAAGTGAACCCGTAGCGATTGCTGCTTCGCGTTCCAACTTAACATGCGGTCTTTCCGCGTTCGTCGGCCGGCGCGGCCCACAATGCGCAGACGCGCCCGCGCGCGCGCGCGCGGCGTGACCCCGCAGCCGTTGTCGATTGGAGTTCCCGCTCGGCATGCGGTCTGTCCGATTTGTTTTCGTCCATTCGTGCAGCCTACAATGCGCCGACGTGCGCGTTCGCGTGGCTTTTTTTTCTAAGATCTATATATATGTATGTATGTATGTATGTATGTCTATATATATATATATCCGCGATTGGAAAGTCGTTGTGCTGGCGTTGGAACTAACGTGAACCATTGTAGCGTTTTCCGATTGGATTTCCAATTTCACATGCGGTGTTTTTACGTTTTCGTCCATTGGCGCATCCTACAATGCGCCGACACGCGCGCACGACGGGTTCTGTATTGGCAGCCATAGGATAGTCGCCATGCTGGTCTGGGAATTAAAATGATAGCGCTTGCTTATTGGAGCTCCAAGCTTAACGTGCGGTCTTTCTACGTTTTCGTAGATTAGTGCAGCCTACAGTGCGCCGACGCGCGCGGGCGAGCGTGGCGGTTTCTGTGTTGCCCGCGATAGGAAAGCCGCGATGCTGGTCTGGGAACAAGAAGTGGAGCCTTAGCGGTCGCAAATGTGATTTTCCACGTAACGTGCGGCCTTTCCACGTTTTCGTCCATGGGTGCAGCCTACAATGCGCCGACGCGCGAGTTCGCGTGGCGGTTTCTGGTTTGTCCGCGATAGGAATGTCGCCGTGCTGACTTGCGAACTGAAGCGAGCCTTGTGTAGCGATTGCCGATTGGGTTTCCAAAGTGGAATGTGGTCTTTATGTTTTCGTATATCGGTGCAGCGATTTGTTCGCGATGGGAAAGTCGCCATGCGCGGTCACTGCACTCTGGGCATCCCTTTCCGGACGCCCTGAGTGCACTCACCAGAGTGCATTCTGGTGAGTGCACTCTGGTGAGGCGACGGGGCTTTGAGTGCACTCGTGGTAGGAGCGCGCGCCGAGTGTCGGTGCTGAATGACGGCGCCGATTGTGACTGCCAATGTCGGCGCCGAACGTCGGCGCCAAGCGTCGGCGACGATCGTCGGTGACGCGCCAAGTGTCTGCGCCGATCGTCGTTGACGCGGGGGGTCTCTACAGACCCACCCCCCCGCGCGAACCCGACGCAGGAGTGCGCCTCTGGACGCGGAGTGCCAGGGCGGTCGCGGGGACGTCCCTGGCGGTCCGGTTTGCCCCTCCTTTTGTTTTCTATATGCGCACTACAGCGCCGCGAATATTTATGTTTACCACAGTCCCTCCCTGATTGTTTAAATTTTTTTAAACGTTACACAGTGGAGGCCCATGCCAAAAAAACGCCCCTCTTGCCTCCAGGGGGCCCTGTTTTTTTTGTTGGGGGGGTCGATGGTTTTGCGATGGGAAACGTAACGTTCGCACACCAAAAATAAATTGACGTCCTGTGGTCTCATGGTTTGGTTTCTTGTGGAAAGTCTCTTGTGGACTGGCCTCTACTGTACCACTCTCCTCCTCCTGAGGACTTCCGTGGGCGCATGAGGCTGTCAGGAAGCGGTACATAGTGCATCCTTTGAGATCCGATTTTGCGAACAGGGCCCTGAAGCAGTCAATACCCGTAGCAAGGAGGTGCTTGCTTCATCTAGGTTGCCTTTGCATGCCTGCTGCTTCGGCACATCCTGAGCCACGTCCACGGAGCTCGAGATGGTAGGCGGTACTTCCAATGGTCTTGCATCCTTACTGTGGGTTTTGGCTGCAGGCCCATCCCTCTGACTATGCTGTTGCAACATACTTTAGCCTTGATCACCTACAAGAATTTCGAGCACCAAGAAAGTACCGAAACTGATGGTTTTCGCGTGGCGGGCCCTGGGAGGCGACACTCGTTCGACACTGTGTCGATACTGTTCTCTGGGTGTTCGAAATCATGCTCGGGATGTGGTCCTTGAGTACGATGTGAGTAACATAATCCTCAGCGGCATTTTCGGGGCCAGAATGAACGTTCGTTGTGACAAGAGGGCGGCGCCCCGATCTCAGGGAAGTTTGGTCAGCACGCACCCAGGAGAGGCCCAGCAGTGCTCATTTCGACTCCTCCGATTCCGATTCGATGCGACTTCGGATTCCGATGTGGGCTCCTATTCCTTACTGGGGGCATACTAGCCTGCCGACTTCCGCCGATCCGACTTCTCCCGACTCGGCTGCCGATTTCCACCGACCCGATGCATCTCGAGCGCCGATGCGACTCGTCGATTCGATTGCGGGCCCCCCTGGCCCAAGCAGTGGGTCACCACCCACCAAACCACTCCAACCCAACCCGAAGGCCCCAATTTATCGTCGATTTCCAGTGGGGGGGGGGGGTCGTGGGACATCGAGAACACACATGTGGAACCCGTACCACCCCCAACCCGAGATTCGGGTCTTCGGGTTGGGTTTGGGTGGTCTGGTAGGTAGTCAGTGGGTACCTCTCACCTCTCGGTTCCCTCTCGAGGTGGAGACGCCTCCGCGGCCTCTCGCCCGCAGGCCGGGCCCCCGCGCCGCGGCCCGCGGCCACACGGGGCGCGCTCTGCCGCGGGTGCCCCCCGCGCGGAGCGCACCCGTGCGGCCGCGCGCCCGCGGGGGGGAGCGCGCCCCAGGAGACGTGCGGGCGATGTCTACATATTTACCAGCCGGGAACATATCCCTATCCTTATGCTGGGCACCTTCTCGTCAAGATGCCAATCTTAGGAACTCCCTTATGTTTTGAGGGCGAATCCCCAAGAGTGTCATCGCCTTGTGGCGTGTCAATCTTAGGGATAGGGATACGCTCGAGGCTGGTAATATATCCACATCCAGTGCGTCTCGGAGTTTCGGAGTCTCTTCCCCGAAGACATGAGGCGCACTCTGGATATGGATCGAAATCTGGCCCATAAAAAGGCTCGATGTTATCCACATCCAGTGCGCCTCGGCCTTGCGGCGCTCCTCCCAAGAAAGTCCAAGACGCACTGGATATGGATATAAGTATTGCCCGCAATCCAGACCGCGAGGGCACGGAGTCGGATACGGCAGGTTCCCGTCCCGTCGACCGGCGGCGACCCCAGCGCGGGCGTCCAAGGCCGAACGCCGCCTGTGGCCCAGCATCCATCCTGGAACGATCCGGCCCTTTTTGAAAGGGCCGATCGTTCCAGTTCGAAGGATCCCCGCGGTGTCAGGAGCCAACGCCAGGGTCGACACTTCGCGAACCTGCCGTATGTTCGCTGCTCGCGAGGGGCGGGCCACAGGAGGCTCCCTTCGGGAGGAGTTCCGCGCTCGCGCCGAGGTGGTGCTTCTTCGCCAGGAGGTTGCGGGCGGGCATGCGCGGCAGGCCGGACGGCGCCGCGACCGTCTGCATCTCGGTGCCCGCGAGCACGCTGTCCGAGCTCAAGGCGGAGGCGGCGGCCGACGGATTCGCGGGTGCGTCCGCGTTCGAGGCCCCAGAGCTGGACGAGGAGGAGGAGGAGGAGGAGGGATGAGGGAGTCAGAACGCTACAAGTCAGGAGCTTTGAAGCCCGATTCGCTCGAAAGGGAGGAGGAGGAGGACGAGGAGGAGCAGGAGGAGGAGGAGGACGAAGAGGAGGAGGAGGAGGAGGAGGAGGAGGAGGAGGAGGAGGAGGAGGAGGAGGAGGAGGAGGAGGGAGGAGGAGGGAGGAGGAGGGAGGAGGGAGGAGAAGGGAGGAGGCAGAAAAAGGTCGAGGACGAAGGAGTCTGCGTGCGAGGCCCTGGTGAGCTTCCTGGGCATGAGGCTGCTACGGCTCGGGCGGCACGGGCGCCGGGCGCTGCTCACGAAGGACTACCGCGCCGCGCTCGGAGCCGCGGCGCCCGGGCAGGGACAGGGCTTGGAGAACTTGTTCGCGAACGCGGTGATCAGCATCGTTCAATCGATCCCTAAGCCTCAAAGAAGAAAAAACGCTATAAACATAAACGCGCGGCGCTCCGCGCGGATTTATTGGATCCGCGCCTGGGGCCCCCCGGCGACGCCTCCGGCGCCGCCCCTGGCGCGCTCCGCGCGCCAGGGAGGGGGGTGCAGCGCAGATCAAAAAAATCCGCGCGGAGCGCAAATGGTTTATGTGTATGGCGTGTGTTCCTCTTGTAATCCCCATCCCCATCCCCATCATCCCACCAACCGGGTTGGGGATTCTCTAGGCCTCCTAGATGGGGTCGGAGTAGATGTGGTCGGAGGATCTCGCCGCATCGCCGATGCATCGGCGATGCATCGGCGGTGCGGCTCAATGTGGGGCCCAACTTTCGCCTCGCCGACGTCGCCGATGCATCGCCGCTGTCGCCAGTGCATGGCCGATGCATCGCCGATGCTGCGAGATCCTCCGACACCATCTGCTCGGACCCCATTTGGGAGGCCTCTTGATATGCCCCTCGAAACCCGAAGGGAACAGCTTACATACCCATCTATGGGGGTAGGTCGGTCAGTGAGGCCCATGCCACGCCCATGGGGATATTGGTTGGTGAAACGATGTTCAGGTGACCCACGGCGTGTCCTTCGAGTTGCCCTGCGTCGCCGACGTACAGGACATGCCCCTGGCCGCCTCCTGCAAGGCGATGCGAGGAGCAATCGACGCGGTTTCTCTGGAGTACGTCAGTTGGCACTCCAAGCAGGATCATCATCGGGGTTTGCCGAACTTCTTCGGAGGCCTCTGCTGCAATACGTGGGGCCGGGCGCTGGCGGAGCTCAGCTTCGTTGAAACTTACGCGATTGGCCACCGCAGCGTGGACGAGCGCGCTGCGAATATGGTGTACCCACTAGACACAGCGTATATGCAGGTTCTGCCCTTGCCATCTGGCGACCACACGGTCCTGCTGACGATGCCAATCAGCGACGCCACAGCGTTGCTGCGGGATCTGCCCGAGAGCCACTTCCACTTGCCCCACGTCAGCCAGATGCGCGCGCACCCATTCCGCCAGCTGGTGCCCAGTTCTGTGGTGGACAGGCTCAACCCTCCCGTGGAAACCCACCACATGTTCGCCCGCATCGCCTGCATTGGGGACTCGCTGACCGCCTGCGGCTACCCGAAGTATTTGCAGGCGCTGTTCGACCGCGCCGACATTCCGGCGCAGGTGCGCGGCTTCGGCGTCCCTGGCGCCACGGCGACTCGCTTCTCCGACCAGCCATACTGGGATGAGACGAAGTTCGAGGACGCTCGCGTCTGGCGACCGCACTTCGTCATCGTCACCCTTGGCACCAACGACTCCAAGAGCGGGGTCTGGGACGAGGAGGCCTTCGAGAAGGACTACCGGGACCTGTGCGCCGAGTTCCTGGCGCGCAACAACCCCAAGCCGCTCGTGGTGCTAGTCGCGCCGCCACCGCTCTACGAGGAGGGCGCCTTCGAGATGCAGCAGGAGGTCGTCAACGGCTGCCTGCCTGACGCCGTGGCGCGGGTGGCGGCCGCCGCCAGGCGGGCGCACAACGAGCCGCTGGAGGCGGAGGCGGCCCGCTGCAGGCAGCAGGTGCCCGAGGATGAAGGGGCCCTGGGACTCGCAATGGAATAGACGCGAATACAAGGATTCGCCACATCTCCCCCTATTTTCTGGGCTTCTGTTTCCTCCCCCCCCCCACTGCCTATAGTTTGCCATATCTTCTGGGGGATCGACGATGCATTGGGTCTGTGTGCGCCTCCCTCCGGAAGAGGAGCTGCTCGCGCGGACGGCCGTCGTGGACGCGTTCGGCGCCCTGGGCGGCGCCGGGCTCCGCCGGCGCGGCTGCCTGGCCGCGGACGCCGGGGCTCGCGCAGCGGTGAAGTCTCGGGCCGGACGACAGACCCGAGTAAGCCGGAACTCGAGTTTGCCGACGTTGTTTTGACTCGGGGGTGGACAGAACCCCCAACAGTGACACGTCGATTAGTGCATTGTCCGTTTTCGGTTCTCGAGAGGGCGTCGTGGCCGTTATTTTCCAGCTTGCGCCCGCCAGGTTTGGGCCTCAGGTCTTTTTCACAAAACCACGTTTTACTAAAGGGGGGTCTGTCCATCCCCGTACGCCGGAACTCGGGTTTGCCGACGTCGTTTTGACGAGCGCGTGCTGGATTTTGACGGTCCAGTGTTCGTGGGATGTTTGCAGCGGGAGCTCGCGTGCCGCCTCCGGCGCCGGGAGGCGCCGGGAAAATCAGCTACGTGAGCTGATTCTCCCCCCCCCCTTTGCTATCCCCCCTTTCGCCCGACCTGAAAGTCGGGCATGTCCCTCTGCAGGAGGAGCAGTCAAAGAAAGAAGCAGAAAAACTGTCTGGGGACGACGCTTCGGTGGATAGCTCTTCGTTGGAGTACTGTTTGGCTCTGTTGGCACCTCCTTCCGAAATCCGCCTGTGCGAGCTGCTCCTCCTCCTCCTCCTCCTCCACCTCCTCCACCTCCTCCACCTCCTCCACCTCCTCCACCTCCTCCACCTCCTTCCTCCTCCTCCTCCACATCCTTCATTCCTTCTCCTGAGAGATGACTCCTCCCCGTCGCACCCCGACGTGCCCGACCTGACCCAGCGAGGGTCAGGCGAGCCGCCGGGGCACCGAGAGGCCACCGCGGCGCCCTCGCGGCCAGTCCCCCCCGAGAGATCCTCGGGCTCCCCCGCCCTCCGCGGACCCCCGGTGCGGGAGCTGCTTTCGTGGCCGGCTCGGGTGCGCGGCGTGGCCCCCAGCGGGCCCGGGTGCGTGTTGGGGCTCGGCCCCGCGCAGACGGGGGGAGGGCGCCTGAGAAGCACCCCTGCTTCTCTTCGGGGGCGGGGAAAGAGGGGGGTGATGACTAGGGGGGGGGGGGAGATCATGGCGTGGGCCATGATATTTCCCCAGATTTCATGGCGCCCCTTCTTATTTCATTACGTCCCTGGCCCCCCCGCTGGGCCGCGCACATGCCGCCGGTCAAGATTTGCACCCCCCCCCTCTTGGACTCCCCCCTCTTGGCCGCTCCCGAGCAGACGGGGGGAGGGCGCCTGAGAAGCACCCCTGCTTCTCTCGGAGGCGGATAGACCTCCTACCCTGACACGTCGATTAAGGAATTGGCCGTTTTCGGTTCGCGAGGGGGCGTCGCGGCCGTCATTTTTGCGGGTCCAGGTCCGTCGGTTTCGGTCCCAGGCCGTTTTCACTGAGGGGAGGTTTACTAAAGAGAGGTTTGTCCACCGCCGATTCTCAGAAGGTGCGGGCCTCGTTTGCAGATACAGGGCCAGCGCCCTCTAAGGAGCAGGGTGCTTCTGAGAAGAAGCCCTCCCCCCTCCCTCCCCCCACCCCTTGTGTGCGCGCCGCCAAGGGGGGGGGGCCCGAGGACGGAGTGCACCCGAATGAGAGGGGCACGCGGATGCTGGCGACGGTCGTGTTCGCAGAACTCCGGCTTGAGGTCTTCGAATAATAACAGCTCGCACACACACACACACACACACGAGCGCCTGCATCAAGGGACGAACAGCACCCGCACCCGATGACTGGCGCTTACGAAACGGCCTTGGGCGGTCACTGAACAGCCCTGCCCTGTTCGATTCTTTCTTTGGGTGCGTTTGCTACACGGCCTCGCTTGTCGGGGTGGTTACGGGGGGGGGATGTTTGCCCTCTACTGAAGTCCGCACGGGTGCCTTGGATCGACACTGGGACTCCCAGGAGGAGGGGTGTCGGGCGCCGGTCCAAGAAATCTGCGCAGAGCTCCGACAGTTGGCGTTTGTCTTTCTAGGTGTAAGTCGGGCGTGTCCCACTACAGGAGGATTATTCAAAGATGGTCAAAAAATTGTTCCGGGGACGATGTTTCGACTATTTTCGAACATTTTTGGTGTAATCTTGGACTACTTTGTTTTTTCGTCCAGAATCCGCCTGTAGGGGACACGCCCGACGTAAGCAGAGCTCCGAAAGTTAATGTTTACAGCTTTTGTCTTTCTAGGTTGTCGTTTTCTTATTCATTGTTTTGCCGATCGGCGCAGGCAATCGCAACCCGCCCTCCCCCACCCCATGGAGCAGGTCTTGGCTGTCTTTGGCGCCTGCTTAGAGCAGGTGGAGGCTCCCCCATGGGACGCACTGCCGCAAACAGTCGCATTGCGCAGAGGTCCAGAGCCAGACCCCCCCCCCCCTCCCACCCCCGTCCGCCCAATGTCGAAACGCCGCCGAATGAGAAAACGCTCACTAGGTCCGCCGCTGCCTGCGGAAGTGGGCGGACGATGCGAGGAGGGCCGAGCAGCAGGATCCCAGCTCGGCGTTCTGAGGCGGGTGGCGCCCGTGGGCCGGAGGGGCCTGTGCGCAGTGTGTGTTGCTCTCTCTGTCGTCGCCGTCCGGCCTCGGTCGCCTCTTCCTTCAGTGGTCCTGCTCGGGCGTTGTGTAGAGGGCGGCTGTCCTGCTGCCGCGGGCGGTGGAGCGATCATCGGGCGGGATGAGGACGAGAGCAAATCCGTTCCACAGCGTTCCAGAACGCTCCGAGGAGGCCGCGGCGCCCGAGACACATCCTCCAGAGCCGCCAGAGCTCAGAGATGCCCGAGGCATCCTCACCCGAATTTGTCCTCGTCCTGGCCTCGTCTCAGATAAGCGTGGGGGAGAGCCCTCGTGAGCGCGGGAGCGCTGCGGAGCAGCTGCTGGGTGGCTCGCCAGTGCGCCTGCCTCGCAGGCCGTGCGGACGCTTCCCCGGTCTGGTGGCGCTGCAAAAAAAAGAGAGAAGTGAGCAGGTACGGTTGTTCCCCCTCCTCCTCCTCCTCCGCACGGCCAGCGGAGGGCTTCAGAGTAGCTCGGCAGCGTGCGAGGGGGGGGAGTGCCTCCTGAGAGGTGTTCTGTGCCCTCGGGGTAGGCTGAGGCAAAACTGCACAGAGGGCCGGGGGACATCCGAGCCTTAGACGGCTCGCCCCTTCTCACTTCCCCCCTCGCTCGCCGCCGAGTCGCACCACGGATGTCCGCCCGTGCCGCTGCTCTGGAACGTTCACCGCTCACCAAACCACCCCAACCCAAACCCGAAGGCCCCGACTTGCCTCCCATATCCGGGGGGGGGGGGGGGGCAGGCTGGGAAACACTACGAAAAAAACACCTATGAAGCCCATACCCCCCCAACCGGAAATCCGGGTCTTCGGGTTTGGTGGGGTGGTTTGGTAGGCTTGGGGTCGGGCACGTCCCTCTACAGCAGGAATATTCAAACATGGCCAAACAATAGTGTGGGACGATGTTCCTGGCATGTTTTGACTATGTTTGAGTACGTTTTGAACATGGTTTTTTTCGCCAACAAATCCGCCTGTAGGAGGACATTAATGGCAGGTCGTCGAACGTATCCTTATCCTTCAGGAGGGAAGAAAGCACACAGACACGATTAATCGTCGATTCCCAAAAGAAAATCCGGGAACATATGGGAAGTGGGAGGGAAGACGAACAAAAACCCAAAACGTATGGAAAAAGATGGGGAATCCTGTCATTTGTGTGCATTTCTTTGTGTGTGTGCGTGTGTGTGTGTGCGTGTGTGTATGTGTGTGCGTGTGTGCGTGTGTGCGTGTGTGCGTGTGCGTGTGTGTGTGCGTGTGTGCGTGTGTGCGTGTGTGCGTGTGCGTGTGCGTGTGCGTGTGTGTGTGTGTGTGTGTGTGTGTGTGCGTTGTGGGCCCCTTCGATCCTCCTGCTGCAGATCGAGGACGCCGGCGGCGCATCACCGGCCGCTCCCTGGGAGTTTGCCGAAGATCGCGCAGCATCGAAAGTCGTGACGTGGCGCGGCCCATCCCGCCACCGTGCTTGGGTTTTGGGTTGGAGTCCTCGTGGACGCTTCTTGGGGTCTCGAGAGGGCTCTCGGGGCCTCTGCGGGGGAGTTTAGGGCCTCTTGAGGGCCTCCTGGGGGCTTCTTGTGAGCCTCTTGGGGGCCTCTTGGGGCCTTTGGGGGCTCTCTTGGAGCCTCTTGGGGGCCTCCTGGGGGCCTCTAAGAGCCCCCTGGGGGCCTCTTGGGACCGAAAGCTCAAAATGTTCATTCGGGTTCCCCTTCTGAGCGCCCTCTTGGGGCCGTCCTGGGGCCTCTCTTAGGCCGTTCTGGGTGCCTCTTGGGCCGTCTTGGGGCCCTCTTGCGCCGTCTTGGAGCCCTCTTGGGGGCTTGTTGGGCCGTCCTGGGGCGATCTTGGGGGCCTCTTGGGCCGTCTTGGAGCGTGGGTAAGCCGAAATGGCGAGAACGCGAAAATCCTTCAAAAACCATTGAAATCAATGGTATTTGCATGTTGGGGCTCTCTTGGGGGTGCTCTTGGAGGCCTCTTGGGCCGTCTTGGAGGCGTCTTGGGCCGTCTGGATGCCATCTTTGGCGTCTTGGAGCGATCTGGAGCCGTCTGGAGGCTCTCTTGGACTGCTCGGGACTCTCTAGGACCGGCTTGGGGCGCCCTTGGGTCGTCCCCGGGCCGTTTGAGACCTTGAAGGGGGGGGGGCCGGCGGGGGGCCGGCGGCAGAGTGGGGCCCCCTCGGAGGGACTTTCAGGAGGTTTTTGACCAGGCACTGGAGAAGGGGGCCAAAGACTGTGCAAAACACTCTGTCAGAGAGGTCTCGCACGGCCCACACCGCAGAGCGGGAGCGGCCGGATTTGCAGGGCCGCGCCCTCTGCCGCGGGCCCCCCCCAGGCGGAGCCATCCCGGGGCCGCGTCGGGACAGTTCGGACGCCCTCCTCCGGGAGGCACCTCTGGGCCTCGCGGACCGCCTTCTGCTCAGCAGGGGGAGAACACACACACACACAGACACAATTCATCGCCGATCCCTAGGAAAAGATGGGAAACTATGGGAAGTGGGGGGGGGGAACAAAAACCCAGAAAATATATGAAAATTTGGGGGATCCTGTTATTTGTGTGTATCTACTTGCGTGTCCCAGGGCCCCTCCATTTGCCACACCGTGGGTCGCACTGCAGCTGGACCGAGTCACAGCGAACCCTGATTATCGGAAAGTTACTCTTGTGGGACACCCTACATACGCACTGGCGCTTTCGCCTCGGCGCCGGCTGCATCTCCTTTGAAAAGTGTGCTCACGCTCGGGCGATTCGGGGTTGCGCCGAAACAGGGGAAGGGACACGGGGGAGAGAGGAGGATGGAGCACGAGAGAAACCAGGGGGAGGGTGGCCAGAAAACACGTGGCAGAGCCAGACGGGCAGATCGGGCGGGTAGACCCTGCCAGGCGGGTCGGGAAGGAGGGCCCAGGCGGCCAGGTCGAGTAAGCGGGTTGCTGAAGCGTCCGTCCTGCACGCATCGCTAGCAAGTCTCGGGCGACAGCTCGACTGTCAAATCAATCGTGAGGAAATTCACAGCGAGAGCGTGACTCCTGAACGTCGCGGGCGCGACGTCTGAATAAGTTGTGTGGAATTCCCACGCGAAAGCGCGATTATTGACTACATTGTGAGAAAGTCCCTCGCGAGAGCGCGATTTGGGAATACGTTAGAAGGAAGTATCAGGCGGGAGCCATTGTTCTTGTAGTTCGGGGCCCAACGACGCAGTTTGAGGAGGACGATTTTCCATAATAAAAACTCGCACTTCAATTGAAAAACGCATGCTTTTGGAGGAGGATCAAAATATTTACTCTACAGTAGCCAGAGTTCAACAACAACCGCAGCAGCAACAACAACACCAGCCACAATCGCAACCACAATCGCAACCACAACCACAACCATAACCACAACCACAATCACAACAACAACCACAACCACAACAACGACAACAGCAACAAGAACAGCAACAACACCAACACCAACACCACCAACGCCACCAACGCCACCGCCATCAAAAACAACGCTGTCACTTGAGCAGTCCTCGTTATCTACTCGGGACCAGGGCTGTTTGCTCGCTGCCGAAAATCGGCTTTCCCACAAAACCGTCGCTTCCGCTCGATACTTCTTGGTTTTTTACCCAGGACAGGCACTCCCGCTTCGGCGCCACAGACGGCCCCCCTGCAAACAACGACGCTATCGCTTGATGCTTCCGCCGCTTGATGCAAGAATCCCAGAGGCCTTAGGGCGTCCCTGGACCAAAGTTCCGATCCTCAAGAATGCAGCATGCTCTGTTGGTAGTCTGCACTAGTGCCTCCTTGGCGCGCTACGCGTGTCAAGGGCGGCCCGAGAGCCCGCGGCGGCGACCCCGTCGTCCCCTGTCGTTTGTTTTTTTCGCTGGACTGACATTCGGTGCAAAATGTGTTGCGTCTGTGTGATGGAAAAGCGAGGCAGGCCTGTGCCGCAACAGCGCGGTCTGAGGAAAGGCGCCTGGCGGCTGTAGATGTGGTACAGGGTAGGACCCCAGAGTATGCTGCAGACGCAGGTGGAATAAGGAACCCCACACCACCAACATCGTCAACCGCTCACCCCCATCCATACGAAGGTCCTTCTCCGCGGAAAGCGCAAGGGCCCATGCAGCGATGCCCCGTGGCCCACGCCGTGGGCAGTAGCTGACTCCGCCTGCGCGGCGGGCCCTCTGTGAGGGACTGGGGCTCTTCCTCCACCACCCCCTACACTACAACGCACCAAATTCCCTCGGTTCATCTAGCCTGGAGCCCGAGGCCGGTCTTAGGGCTTTTCGGTCCACCTCAGATATCCCTTACGTTTTTTTGTGTGTATTCTTCGGGTTTGCCACCGACCCCAGTGGACAGAGCCGCAGGACACGCCAAATGAGCGCCTCAATGGAGCGACGTTTCAAGTACATATATATAGTATGATAAATAAATGTTGTTTAACTTATATGTGTATACAAGCCGTTAGATACATTGGAAGGCTGGCACGGTTTAAAGAGGCTGGTCTGGTTTGCACCAGCGTGTGGCGCAACAATGTCACAGGGCCGATGCTTTCCTCTTACTTTTCCACTCCTAATTCTCCACCACCTCCTCCAAAATGCCGTCTCCGATGGTCGGAGGCAGCGGCGCTACACGCCCTCACCGGGAGCAGTTGTCTCCGACGAAGCACGCATTGCAGCAGATGTCGTGTCTGGTTGCCGATGTTGATACAAACACTCCTGCATGCCACGCATGTGAACGAGGGAAAAGGTGAAGAAGATACAATTTCCAAATGTCCATTACTAGTTCGAAAACCATTCGAATGCATAAGAAAGATGGCAGAGTCTTCACAGGCTGACCTGGTTGGTACGAAGGTGTGGCGCAACTGTCACGCTGGATTAATGCTGAAGCTGGTGCAATACAGCTTGTGCGCCGGCAGGCTGGCGCGGCACAGTCAAGGATGAGGTGGTTTCCTCTCCTTCTCGTATATCCATCCCACAGCTCTGCCGCTTCCTCTAAGATGCCCTATCCGAGGGTCGAGTCGAAGGCAGTTGCGCTTCGCGCCCTCACCGACGGCCGCCGTCCCATATGAAGCACGGATTGCCGCCAATGTCGCGATTGGCTGCTGATTTTGATTCAGGCACTCGTTCATACAACGCATGTAAGCGAATGGGAATATGAAGAAGATACATGGTGAAATGGTGAACGAGCGAAGCAGACAGGAAGGAGGTATGGCAGGCCGCTCGAATGGCCAATGTGAAGATGTCT